ATACATATATATATATATATATATATATGTATATATATATATATACCTTACAGATAAGACAACTCGTTTCATACAGCAAAACAAGTTTGGGAACGCATGCCTTTCTTATTGTAAGAGAAACAAGCAAGAAGAGACTCGTGCCTTTCAACTCTTCAACTGAATGAATGGTTTGATGATGGACAGAAAAGTATCATGCAAGCAAACAGACCATTCCGCATCCAAATGAAAAGATGTTCTTTGATTTCTTGGTGTTGGTGAGTTTGACTTGTTGGAAGAGTTCAAGGAAAGGGGATTGGGGTCTGCTAAAAATTATATGATTGATAGGATTTATGGAAATATGTCGCTAAAATTTCTTAAAATAAATGCAGTTCACTTTTAAAACATTGTTGATCTATATAATATTGAGAATATGATAGTGCATGTCAACATTCCATGAAAGGAGAAACAAAAAGATGGCGAGATTCTCTTCCAACAAATGCTTCTCTGTTTTCTAAATTGAGGTTGGATAGTGCTTCCTTGAGACTTTTATCTTATTTTATTCAAATCATTTTGATTATGATCAAACTGGCTTCAGGTAGGCGAGAGAGAGCCAACAATGCCAAAATTTAAGCTATCAAGACAAGGGTTGTTTGATTCGAGTGTCATTTCAAGAACATAAAAGAAGAGCATTTCCAGAAAAGAACTTCGAGCTCTGTTCTTCGAATCAAGAGGAAATCTCGGGCTTTGGTTTGATGTTCCCATTATTAATATGCCAAACAAAAACTCGAACTCGTTCGAGGAGGAGACTACGGCCAACTCATTGCATCCGAGATTTCGCTCCCCGGCCTCATGGGTGGTTGCCTTGTGTGCTCCTAAATTTGTGGTCTTTTCTTGAACTGACAAAGGGGGATACCAATTTTAGAGAGAGAGAGAGAGAGAGACTATTTGGTGTGTCGCTATCCAAATTTCAAGGAGTGCAGGAAAGGTTGAGAAGAGATGGTGGAGATGGTGGGAGTCTGTTAATTGATCCCTCCTCTGACTCCCGTCCCCTGTTCTCTGAGAGGTGGGATGGTGTGGTATCAGAGAACAACATCAAAAACATTACTTTTACGACGCCTCCCTGCCTCGTCCCTCTGCTCCACTCATAAAGTTTCCCTCTTTATCACAACGACGACGATATAGCCACTGCTGAATCGTTGATTCGCTTCCATCAGCTGCGGAAAGACTCCTTCCCTCCTATCTTTTCCCTCAGCAGTTGGAGCGTACCAAAAATGTCGCACCTTTTCGATGCATTCCGGGCGCTGGAGTAGAGAGAGCCGGAGGGATCTTTAAGCAAGACGGAGGAGATCGAAACATCAAGGGTTGGCTGCACGTCCTCCGGTCCAATCACCTGGGCCTGCAGAACTACCGGAAACGGTACGTCGTCCTCTAAAGTAACGCCCCTAATTGCTACAAGAACGCGCCAGCGTCCACCAGAGAGGTAGTCGGGAACTGTTCTTTCTTGGTTTGTCTTCTCGCATTCGCTCGCTATACTTGTTAGCTCGACAGAGATGGATATTTTTGGATTGTTTTGTTGAATAAAGATAAGTTCTTGAGCTGTTGGTTTTGTTTCTTAGGGGAAAAAGATTGGTTGAATGATGCAATATTTGGTTTGATGGAAAGAAAGGGTGAGAGATGTTTGGGGAGTCAGTCTTCTTTCTAAAGGCTCCATTAGTTCTTCTTCTTATCCGCCGGAGTTTGGGTTGATCTTTTATTGTTTTGAATATGATATGATCAGATACAGATCAGCATTTGTTGGCTTTTAACGGGCAAAGGAGATTGGACATTTGACAGTGTCGATAGAAGGTAAGTTAAATTTTGAGACCACTTGTTTGAGTTCAAGTTTGATCATTATTGGGATTGGGAGTGGAAGTAGAACAATGTGGTGCGTAGGAGAACATATCAGTTTCAGAATTTGAGTGAGAAGTTTCAAGTAGTAGTAGTTCTCTTCCAAGCCAACAATATGATCCTATATTGCACAGCTCGGAGAATTCAATGAATTATTTTCCTTTTAATTTAAATATTTTAGCAATTTATGGTGTTTAGATTGATTTTGTTTGATAAATGGTGTTGAATTATTTAAGATGATGCCATGTTTTGTCAAACAATTTTTATTTGAAGTTATCTTTCTTGGTAGCTGCTGTTGATTTTCTACTCCATTCAATTTTATCCCTTTTACTCTGTTTTACATTTCTGATTGTCTTCTTGTCGCTTCCTTCCATTGCATCAAGCAATGCTTTGGTCAAACAATTTTTATTTGAAGTTATCTTTCTTGTTGGCTGCTATTGATCTTGTATTCCATTCAATTTTATTCCTTTTGCTTTGTTATACAATTCTGATCGTCTTCTAGTCCCTTCCTTCCATTGCATCGAGCACACTCATAAAAATTGGAATGGGTCATATTAGTGCTGCTTCTTGGGTGAGAATTGAGATGCTACTGATCCTAGGTCAAGTTCCTGTGCACAAATAAAAGTTAAAAGTTAACAGCAGAAATGATTAATTAACTACCTATTAAATTCAACTCAAGATCGATAAATGGACTCTCTTCGGGTAAGGCTGCCCTTCATATTGTGAAAAGTTGATACTGGAGAAGCCAATGCAACGATGTCTTTTCCAAATTTGGATATCTGCGGAGCCTCACAATTGTTTGACCATCAAGCTTTATCCTCATGTGATGGCATACTGATGATGCTAAAATTTATGTGCCTCCTCAGATTCCTATAAAAAGTGCACTGATTGGTTCCTGAATGTACGTGACGGACAACAGTAGACAGATAATAATACACAGAAATATAACAGTGAACCTGGATTATCTTTACTCTCAGAACATATTTTCATCTTTTCCATTTTACTTCACATAATTAAAATTTTGCCAAGCTTCGTTGTAAATGTTAAGGCCTGTTGGCACGTCTATATATTTATTCTTTATAGCGCTTCCAGTCCCAACAATCATCTAAGCGTACACTAGTTTGTGCTTTAGAGTGGCAGCCACCAGCAGTTTGGTTTTGATTGCTGTTTCCGACATATCATTTGGCAATGGTCTGAGATTCATTTAACTCTGCAGTTGGGTGCAAGGAGCTCTGAGGAGGCAGCTACTTGAATCAAATCCCCAATGGAAGCTGCATTTATGGTTGGTGCCTTCTCTAGTCTCATTGATTTTTATTGACAAATATGTCATAACGTCTGCATTTGCAGGAGGACACAAACAAAGAAGAGAATGCTGTGGCTTGTTCGAAGAGAAGACGGCAATCTTTTAGGTCACACATTACTATTTTTTTATTAGCTAGTTCCACATCCACCAATTACTAACTGACATACTTTTTATTTGTTTCTGACAAGAATAGATCAATTTCAAGAAAGCATGCTAGTCCTATTGCTTCACTATGGTCGTGTAAACATTGGTTCTTTTGTCAAATGATTGAAGCTACAGTTGTTTTAGCTTTACATGCCCAGTCTTTTAGCATTTACCTCTGCTCATGTTGCTATACATGGTACAAGCGGCTATTAGATCAGAGTCATCAGCATATTTATAAGATTATAATTTACGAGAAGAAGAGCAAGGGGAAGAGATGACGATGTTAGGGTGTCAAGACAACCCATAAGCAGCAAAAGCCTCTTACCAGCTAAGTAGCGACTAGGCCTTTATGTGGCCCATTAGTGGCCTTCAGGTGTTCCATCTATAAACGGAAGAAAAAACTGTTCCATAGAAATTTATATGATAAAAAATAACCATATATTTTTAGAACCAAAGGAAAGAAAAAAGTGCAGAAGTGATGCAAAATTGTTATGACCTGTGTCAATCAATGTTACTCAGTTTAGCAAAAATATGCAATTTCTTGAACATCTAGGGATAAAGTAATAAACTAATAATTGGGAGGAAGCAAGAATTCACAAGTTTTAATCAACTTGATAGTAGTACTGATAGAAATACATGGTGATACAAAGATAGCAGTGGCAGACATAACATAAAAAAGATGCATTTAAGCACCAGGAGCAGAATATAGTAGCAAAATATGATAAAAGTACAGAAAAAAGGGTAGTAGTCATGTCATCGGTAGTAGCAAAGGAAAAAAGAAAGAAAGAAAATATTATAACTGAAACAAAGAAAATATACAAATAAATTATAAAGTTGCTATGTGAAGAAAAAGAGATCAAAAGTAAAGAAACAGAAATATAAATGGTAGGTAGCAACAAAATTTGGTCAGCCATGGTATAGGCAATGGATGAAGAGATAACTGAAAGGAAAAGAGACAAGAAATGAAGAAAAATGAGAACACTATATAGAGAGAGATCAAAACAATTGTTGTGTTTTAACAAACATAAACGGAAGGTAAACAATGTATGTGCATCATGCTTTCAAAGATATATGTTCTCATAAATTATACAGGCTCATGATCCACTCAATTGATTTTCTTGATTTACCTTCAGTTTAATATTGACAGCTATATGCCTCTAAAATATCGAAGTGTGCTTATATATGAAGAAAAAGGATTTTTTGCATGATTTAATTAAATTTGTTAGGCCTAGACATCAAAGTCCGGTAGAGCATGTAGACAAACTTTTTCACAAGACTTGGATGACGGAGTAATTTTCTCTTTTTCCATGTGTTTGTGTTGTGTGTGGGGTGATTGACTAATTTTTGGGTTCCCAAATCTCTATCTGGTAGTTTCCATTGGCCATAATTTGCATTGAATATGGGGTCGAAAATTCTGCTGCTTTTGCTTTATGGTATAGAAAATAAGTTTAGGATTGGTAAATTTAAATTTCTTTAATGTTCACTGGTCATGTCAAAATGATGGGAAAGGCCAAGACATATTGAGTTTTTCACAGAATCAAGAATATAGATACAGAGTCACCATGGGCTTGCTTGTTTAGTACCATATTATCAAAGCCTCTTTTTGGATTATAAACAGTGTGGCCTTTGTTTTCCATTAGTCATTTGGAATTAGATTCTAGTTGCTATGTCAAAGAAATGTTCTATACAGAAAAGGTTCATGGCAGTAGTAGTAATCTTACACTAGGATATCTACCAGCATTAGAGTGTCTGCTAAGTTTCAACTTTCAACTTTCTTGTGGTGCCAATAGTTATGTAGGCTAGAGATGTACATTCAATGGCGTGTGTGCTTGGTTTTTTTTTGTTTCATCTGACTTTTACCTTTTCTTCCTAATAGTATAAACCAGTGTTTCTTTTGTGAATAAAGGTTCACCAAAATAATTTTGTTTGACACTGTTCTCATTGACTAGTATCATGATATCCAGGTCAAGCCGTAGAAATGAGAAAAGTCGCATGCATTCTATAGGTAAGCAATGTTTGTTGTTTGTTTCTCAAGTAAATAGTCCATATTACTTATTCTATCACCTTTCAGGATGATTTTTCTTGGAGATCTATTGACTAAATTATTCTGATTTTGATGAATTTTTCTGGCACTTTCTTACCTTATTCAAACTCTCTATAGACTGGACAGTTTTCTCATCTATGCACACTGATCTAATGACATTCGATGTTATAGCACCTTCCATGTGGACGATAATTGGCTGTAAAAATGGTAATAACTTGCATTTTTTTATTTTTTAAGAAGTTCCAAAGAAACTTAAAGTTTTTTTCACATAGGCTTACGGCTGTTCAAAGAAGCAAAAGATGTTGATTTCCCCAACAAGGTATATCTATAATCTCAACATGAAAGATGCATGATAATGAGTTTCTTAGTGAAATCAACCATTCTATTTTCCTCAGAATTGGGAAGATCATCCGGCTATAATGACGGTTGGTGTTGTCGATGCAGCATCTGAGTCCATTTTCCACACAGTAATGTCTCTCGGACAGTCAAGATCAGAGTAAGATTGTGACTTTCTTATTATCTAGGGCTTTGTATTATCTTGATTCAAAGAATAAGAAACTGGAAAGCAAGCTGTGAGACTTGACAAAGTCAGTGGCCTATTTTATTATATGATCAAATGATTCTTTATTACAGGAGATGAACAATGCAAAAAGCATTGTTATGTATAACAGATAGATTCAATACAATCTGGTACCAGGTTTTCAATATGTAGGGATGCTTCATAACATTTAGACACAAAGTGATGGATAAAGGAAATCAAATGCATATTTCAGTAATGCAATTCATATGAGATTGGTTTTACTGTCCTCGTTCTGGAAAATGAAGCACTGAAATCTCTTGCAGATGGGATTTTTGCCTGTTAGAGGGAAATGTCATTGAGAACTTGGATGATTACACTGATATTATCCACAAGAAGTTGCGTGGTGATTGGCTACCATGGTTAGATATGGTTTCAACTTTCAAGTATCTTTAAAGTTGACTTCCTACTTGATGCTGTTGGATCAATCTTTTCAGGGGAATGAAAAGAAGGGACTTATTGTTACGGCGTTACTGGAGGAAGGAAGATAACGGAACATACAGTAAGGCAATTTATGTAATCTAGGATAATGCCATGGCTGGAGTTTTACCATGAACTAACTAAATTGTTAAATTTGGACAGTTATCCTATACCACTCAGTCGTCCACCATAAATGCCAACCTGAAAAAGGATATGTTCGTGCCTGGCTTAAAAGTAATGTATGCTTGATATTGAGCAATAGATCTTTTATCGCATCAGTATGTTAGCTTAATTATGATGAATAGTTGAGTTGGTCTTCTGCAGGTGGAGGCTATGAAATATCTCCCGTGAACCAAGGAAAACAATCAATTGTAAAGCATATGTTGGCAATAGATTGGAAGTTTTGGAAATTGTATATTTTTACCTCATCTTCAATGGGCATTACAACAAAGATGCTAGAGAGGGTTGCAGGTATTGTTTCTTTACCATGATAATCTATTTTCGGATTTTCCAACAACATATTCCTATGTTAAGATATATCAATTGCATGTTGAAGATATTTCAATTATGTACTAAGCAGCTCTCCGAGAATTCTTCCGAGCAAAACTTGGTCACTCTGCATTCTCAGATTTCTCATCAGATGGTTTGACAAGAGAGATAGTTTTGCCACAGACCGAGGAGCAAATTAAACTGGATATGCAGTCAGTGGATGAAAACAATAAGATTGAAAGCTTTGCCAAAGAGATACAAATGTCTTCTCCCAAACATGCTGGTAATGGGTCATTACGTCAACTTAATGATGCAGCTGATGAATTCTTTGATGTTCTCACTGAAGCAGAGTATGATCAAACAGAATTCTGGCCTGCTGATGAAAACATGCAAACCCAGGTCAGTAATTTTAGTGACATGATGATTTATTTCTGGAAAGTCGATGTTATTTTGTGCAACAACGGCCATAATGTTGTAACTATATGTGGTAGCTACATGAATCTATTTCCACAATTGAGCTTTGCACACAAAATTATTCTTAGTTAAATCAAGAGCATTTAAATCTTACTTTATAGTTTCTACTTTCTGGTAAAGTCTTTTTACGCCTCCCTTTATATTCTCTCCTCACATTAATAATACTAATTGTATTACATCTTCTAGCTACAACATCTATAAGTCTCCTTTAAATATGTTCATATCATCTAGACGGTTCATTATCATTTTGTCGTCTATTAAAGATTTAATGTTATGTTTAAATTTTTATGATAGAAAACATTTATCTATACTGAACCTATATATGTTTCACATTGCTTTTCAAAATGATTTGAAAATTTTGCTACTTCAAGAGGTAACTTCTAATTTGGTTGGAATTTTATTTATCAGTTAGTGCAAGACCAGTGCCAAGGTGAGCTATCTACAACTGCAGTTTTCATAGAGAAGCTACATGATGTTTCAGGTTAATCCAATATCTATGTCACTGATATCTTTGTTTTATCTTTATTGTTGCTGTTGCATGTTATGTAATTTGCTTGTTTCTTCTATCAATGCAGTTCAAAAGAGTGGTTCTGCTGACTTCGAAGAGTCACATACCGGAGATAGCATGTCATGCAACTATGGAACCACTCTTCCAAAAGATCCAAATTGCAGTGTGGTTTGCAGTTGGGCAACAGCAGATCCTTCTACATTCTTGATTCGTGGTGAATCATACTTACATGACCATCAAAAGGTATCTGTTAGGTTCTACATGATTATTTATATAAGCTAAAAAGATCTGTTTTTTCATAACTTCGAACTGATGGAACTTGAGTGCATGATGGATACATTATTATACAGCAGGTATGTGATAATTACTAAAAATGATTCGGAGAGTTCAAAATTGTTGGACGGTTTTTAGAATGAGGTTTCTGGTTATTCTAACCAGGACAGGGCTTTCATATAATTTAAGCCACACCTCTTATTTAGCATTGAAAGGTCATCTTTGTTTGTGTTCTGTATGTCTGCCAATCAAATAAGTCCAGCCAAATCTAAACGCGCCTACTCTTGTCATTGTTATATTAGGTTATATTTACTTGCTAAAGCAGAAAAGACCAAGTAACCTACTGAAAATGAGTTCCTTGAAAATATATAGACAAGATGAGGAGACACTTTAAACTCTTGGCTCAAGATATCAAAACTATAGCCCAATGCTTAGGTTTACAACATTGACCACCCAAATTTACCTGATCATATAATGCATCTGCCTCATTTTTATATGTGCTTTGACTCAGTGTTAATCCTTTCTTTTTAAAGAATGCTCTAAAACTCAGTACTGCCAGTAGCTGCCACCTGTGTTTGCTCAACGACGTCTGAGACCGAAATGACTATTGGCTAGGCAGCTGGAGCCTATGGTGATGAACTAGACTAATTCACAGGACTTGCTCAAAGCATAGGCAGTCATTTAATTCATATTTTCTATGCACATGAATGTTACGTAAAAGCATGAATAAGAGAATAAATCCATTGCCTACCAGTGTAAGATCTGGGGAAGTTTAATATATGTAGCCTTACCCCTTAAAGTAGAGAGAGACTATTTCGTGATTGAGGTCTTGAATACCCAAGTTATAAATGAGCAACTTTACCATTACACAAAGCTCTCTTTGTGCAAAAGACATAAATACATACTAAGTTTTTGTATACTAAATTACCGAGACTAAAGCCTGAGATTTAACCTGATAACAGAGCTACCAGCTAACTAAAATGACTTTTCTTATCCTACTAATTTAATACCACTTAAAGTCTTACCTGTCTGTGATCAACAATCCAAGCACATGCTACCAAAAGCACCACTAGTGAACTATCATCATTAAAATGTAATAAGTTGTTCATTTAGCTTCTTTGAACTTTAACATACTGAAGTTGCTATTATGTATTTCTTATTATTTTAATGTATTGCAGCAGTATTTATCAAATTTGCTCTTCCCACAGGTAAAAGCAAGCGAAACCCTGATGCAAATGGTAGCTGCAGATTGGTTGAAATCGGACAAGCGTGAAGATGATCTCGGTGGTCGGCCTGATGGAATTGTTCAGGTTTCTATAGACGTCCCTTACAGTTGTAACATTCTTTGAATTTCTGTAACATAAAATCTACATCTGAAACTTGCAGAAATATGCAGCACAGGGTGGCAGCAAGTTTTTCTTTATTGTGAACATGCAGGTAAGTATAATAATTTACTTTCTCAAGTTCAGGGTGGTGATAATAATCTCCTATACTGAAAATAAATCTTTAATTGCCAAGTGTCTTATCATGGTGTAATGTAATAGGTTCCAGGTTCAACCACATACAGTCTAGCTTTATATTATATGATGGATATGCCATTGGAAGATGTCCCTCTTCTAGAAAGTTTTGTCAAAGGAAATGATGCATATAGGAATTCAAGGTTTAAGCTCATCCCATATATATCAAAGGTTGGTGGATACGAAACCTAATAGGTTCTAAACTATCATCTGTTCGGTTATCATAAATATACAAAGAATATTTTTTTAATATTAATCTGAGTTCTTTTTTGTCCTGCTGCAGGGTTCTTGGTTAGTGAAGCAAAGTGTTGGTCAAAAAGCATGTCTTGTGGGTCAAGCACTTGATATCAATTATTTTCGTGGGAGCAACTATCTTGAGGTAAACTTACATATTATGCTGCTGACTATAATAAAGAATTGAGTAGAAAGCCAAATATAGGGTGATACCCTTGAGGGCATCAGGGGTAAAGGAACATCAAGATGTTCTTAGATGCCACCACTAAGATATAGCCGATGACATGATTTTGTCAAGACTTAAATAGAATGTGAGCCTGTTTATGCTTAAATTCGAAGAGAATGTGAGCCTACTTAAATGTGAACATATCTCAATACTTTGTAGATGGTATAACATGATGCACGATACATAAATTACTCCTTTTGTGATTACTATCGCCATGTCCTTGTATGTTTTTTGCGGACGTAAATCTCCAGGTTGCGATCGATGTTGGTTCATCCACTGTCGCTAGGAGTGTTGTCAGTCTCGTCATTGGTTACTTGAACAGCTTGGTGATAGAAATGGCATTCCTGATGCAGGTACTAACTGGAGTTTTTTCTATTTCTGTTAGATTGACTGCCTGGATTAGATTTTAAACATTCATTTTGCACCAATGTGAAACCACATCTATAATCCAAGAAGCAACAAAAAATTTGTCAACAAATCTGGAAGTTTGCAAAAATCAAATGTTTAATTCGAGCATGATGATGAGATATGTTCATAAGAATGACCATATTCTTTGTTTATCTTTGATGATGAGATATGTTTAATTCGATAATCAAATGTCTAATTCAAATGTTTAAATCTACGAGCAATGATTTTCTTTGTTTATCTTTCTTCAACACATCTCAGGAGAGAAATAACTTTGTGGTTCCACATCATCACACACAAAAAAAGAAAATTTATGTTATCATCATGCAGGGTGATAAGCAAGAAGAGCTTCCAGAGTTCCTGCTGGGAACTTGCCGGTTGAACCAACTTGATATAGCCAAGGCTGTCCCTATTAATCCATCGTGATACTGAGGTGAGCCTGTTTCCTAGATTAATTGCTACAAGATTTTTTTTTTTAGTTTCATCAATATATTGATTGATATGTTAATCATCTTCTTTGTTCACGATTTGCAGATTGAATTTGTCGGATGATTCTTTAATGTGATTGAAGTTCCAAATGGTGCCAAACCATTGTATATTTTTCTTCAGATTTGTAAAAACAAAACAATTTTTTAAATGTATTTTGTCATTCTTTGATATAGGAACTCGAAAGAACCGGTGATAATGTTTTGAGAAGTACTAACCGGTGATGAGGTTTGAGTTTTATGAAGTTATAAAAAAAGGGCAACCATTAAATTTGAGGATTTTGATTTTCTGAATTCATCAGAGGCAAACATGAAAAGTTAAAAATGTTCACAAGAATGAAGGAAGAAGGCATAATTAGCCATAGCATAGTTTTCTTGGTTACAACATTGATATGTTTATGATGAAATATGATGTTACTTTAGCTTATGGTCAACTTCTATCCTCAAATGATCCATTTCATGTTCATAAGTGTTGTGTGTTCTCCCCCATTGCACAGCTACCAAAATTACCAAATGTGTGGATGCTAACATAGAAACATTTAACCATAAGAGTGAATAAAATTATCGTCAGTGTTCATAATGTATAGATCAACATAAAAAATCAATAATTCGATAAATTGATGGGAAAACGAAGAACAAAATATTAAGAAGAGCTGTATAAAGCTACAATTATCTTTATAATCAAAGTAAATATATATTACAGAGTTAGAATATAACCTGATGCTCTTTCAAAGTAATCTACACATTTAAACCAAGTAAACTGGCTTTCTAAACTCATCATAACGAAAGAAGCTGATTGTTCTATGGCAATGTCATATGCAGAACCCAAGAAAGATAATCCAACAAAAACAAGAAACCTATGATGGAGTCTGTGTCCAAATAACCTATAATGCAAATGCTGCAAAAGGATAGATGATAGAAGGACTAAGTGGAAAGAAGAGAAAATATATACTGTAGATAATTACATACATCTTACAGTTCATAGCTAACATACAGATTCAACTAAGGTTCAGCTGGAAGTTATTTAAGGAAATAATAAAGAACTAAGGAGACACATGAAAACTTTCATATATTCCTAGCATTCCAGTTGTCAAGACACTAAGATAAGGTCAAGATGATGACAAAAATAATTATTTGAATCAGTATAAAATATCATTTATGGTATTTTGGCATTTCAAATAATAAATCTAGGATGATCCTAACATTCAATGAAATCCTTGTTAATTATTCTACATCAATAAGATAAAAGAGAAGACAAAAACAAATAGTAAGCAAATAGTTTTAGCAATATAACAATAATAATAAGCTTTATTATATCCATATTATTAGTTGAGAAATGCATCACATTTAAACAGATGACTAACTCTGAAAAAGCTGCATATTAGATCAGATCAGATAAGCAACTTTGCCCAATGATTTATCTTAAGAGAATATAATCCCAAGGCAATTAAGTAACAAGTACTATCTCATATAAGCAAAATTATCCAATGACTTCTCTTAATAAATTGGTTTAGAAACAACATAACCCACCAAACTTACAACCCACAATAGTAGATAGTATAGTATATACTATATATTACCTACATAATTTGTGAATCGCAACAACTCATAACAAGTACTTCAGAACATTCCTTGGTAATGTATTACTAGTACTATATACTTCGGCGGTGATTGATGACAAGTTTAGCACGGAGGAGGCAGCAATGACTGTGGTTCAAAGATGCAAAGCTTATGGGGATTTGTGAGAGGTGTAATGGATGTAAAAAAAGAAGTCGCATGGGATTATACCATCATGACATGTATAAAATATTACATTTCTAGAGTCATGTGGATTTACCTTTGGATTACACCATCATTTGGATTTACCTTTTGCTTGTAAGATAGCATTTATATGCAGGCTTTATATTGTATATGATCACTTTTGTTTCTTGTACATGAGATGATTGTATGACATGTGTTGTATATTAGATATTTGAAACTAGCCACTTTTTTATGATGACATTTTCTATAAGATGTATGACTCTGTTGGTTATTATGATGAGAGGACTGGCTGATCCTTCTGCATCTGCTTGCTTGTTATCATGTTTGAAAGAATATATAAATTGCTAGATTTGTTATCAAATTTATCCTTTCGTGCTCACTTAATTTAATGTGTGCTGTTAGGATTTTGTTATCAAAGCAAACCATAGAGAGAATAATTGCTAATTACATACCCATGTAGTTAACTAAGTTTAATATCTCAATCTCTATATTTTAAAAAGTTATATTAGTATCTTTATAATTATAAAAATAAAATATCTAGATCTATTTATTCTAATGTCATCGATTTTACAAACGAAAATAAAAAAATAAAAAAAATAAAAAGATAATTTTAATATTCCAGTTAGTGATTGCAGACGATGTCGATAATGACAAACGATGACGCTACCGCTAGGGGCCACAGGTGACTGTTGTGAATGAGGAGAGTGATGATGAGAAGTGATGACCGCTCTACATCTGTATCGGTACTGATACAGATGCCAAGCGACCCTTTCGTCACTTGGCAACTTCATCGACATTAATGTAGTTATCGAGCGATGTCGCTCTGTATTTGTGTCGATGCTAATGCAATTGTCGAGTGGTACCACTTTGCATCGGCATTGATGTAGATGTCAAATAACCCTTTTGCCCCTCAGCAATTGTGTCGACATCGACACAAGTGTAGAATAACCCTCACCTTTCATCATCGCTCTTCTCATCTATAACAACAATCCACAGCCCCTAGCAACGCTACCATCTCTCACCACTAAATTGAACATTAAAATTATATTTTTACTTTTTACTTTCATATTTTTATTAATAAAATCGATGATATTAAGATAAATAAATCTAAATATTTTATTTTGATAACTATATGATGTCAATGTAACTTTTTAAAATGTCAAGACCAATGCTAAAGATAATTAATCATAGAAGAAAATATATAATTAGCTTAAAATTTTCTGATCACTTCTAATCATAAAAACTTAAAGAAAACACCAATTAATATTTAATATTCTAAGAATGGGATCAATGGGATCAAAAGGTAAGAGAAGGCGAAAACAGACCAGACAATCCCATAAGAGATGAGTTTTGACAGTAGAGCAGGTCTAACAGTTGCATGACACAGATCCTAACAATTCTGCATCATGTGTAAACAATTAGTTATGTCCTGCCTTGTCTTACCGCTTGTGGACACTACAGCACAATGTAAGGCATCCATGTCTCCCAAAAATTATAAGCCATTATGATATGAGAAACATAGAGATGGCTAACATATTAGGACGGGTATGAGACCACACAACCATTAATTGTCTTCAACATTTGAAGTGACAGTGTTCCTACTAAACTGCTTTCAACTCACAGTATGTTACATCATCTACACAAGCAAGAAACAAGTAGAAATTTGACAAAGAAATGCCCCCTCAGAGATATCTTCAGCAGGTTTCGGATGAATTCTCATTTCATTCCAAGTCCTCAGATGAATTTTTGGCTTTTTCGAAGAACTGAAGAATAGAAGAGTAACTTCTTACAGATAGGATACTGGGTAAAGGGCAAGCTAAGCTAAAAAATCATGAACTCCAGATGCTGAAGGACTATTATGAACATCCAGGCAGACTTTAAAAGGAGTCCTCATGGTAGCAGAACATACTTCATTTCCTACAAATGAAGGTGTCAAGGCTTCAAAAGCAAGATGCATGCATTATACACACCTCCACATTGTGTGAGCTGGCCTAAAGATTGAGACTGGCATCTACAAAGCTAAGATCTAGTGGAGTGTAGTCTTTCCGAAATCCTAAGGTTGATATAGGAAAGCAAGATGAGGAAAATGCGGATGAAAAGGATGAAAGGTCTTGAAGGATCCTTGGAGCTCTTGCATCATCAGATTTCTAGTCGTTTCAAGCTATCCATCACTGTACATTCAGACTCTTCCAGATCCTTTGTGACATCACCAGCCACAGTTTCCTCTATCTGAATTGAAGGCTTCGGTGGAGCGCAGGCCGTGGGCACGACTGAAGATTCCTGGACATCAACCGAGGGCAATGTTTCTTTTACCTGAACTTGAATAGCAGGCGCAATGACTGGTGACATTTCCTTTACTGATGGGGATGATGTGGCAACTGGTACTGGTTCCTTTATTTGCACAGGAACAGCTGGTGCAGTAACTGGAGCAGATTCCTTGATGGATGCAGAGGAAAACACTGACGGAGAGGATGACACAACTAATAATGGTTCCTTCACTTGAGCTGGGATCACCGGAGTCATCTGTCTTGGAACTGATGGTGGAGCAGCAAAAACTGGCACAGATTGTCTGATGCGGACTGGAGATGCCATGCGGATTGGTGTATTATGACCAATAGCGGAAGACAGCTGCCGTAACTGAGCTGCTGGTGGTGGCAGTGGTGGAACAGAAAAGACTGGAACTGCTGTCCTTACTGTCACAGGGGGTGCCATGCCATGGCAAGGCCCATTGAAGTGTCTAACTGGAAAATATGGTGCTGCTCCGGCAGCAGGGAACTTCTGGGGCCGAACAGTCTGGTTCTCTGCCTGCTGATAGGATGACACATGAGTTGAATTGTTTATTCTGGGGGAGGTTGCACGAACTCTTGGAGAAGACTTTTGTTGGATAAGAGGTAGGATCTTTGATACCGATGGAGGAGGTTGCACCGAAGCTGGTCTTTTATCCAGCTGAATCGGGAACCTCCTGGGGAAATGAGTTGCATGGGGGTTGTTTGCCATAGCCATCTTTTCCTTCAGGCAGTAGTTGAGGAGGGCTCGAGCAATGGTGATCTGCTCCTGCTCGTCATTGTTCTCTTGTTCGGTCGACAGGTTTGCTGCTTCCTTTGCCACTATGTTGACATGAAAATAGTATTAGAAACATTTACCAGTGGTAACAAAGAATTAATGCAGAAGCTCAGCAACATCGACAAATTTGACAGGGAATCAACTCTAGGCGTGCTACTGAAATCCAACTGGATTAGTGGCAAACAGTTCCAAAGGTTCTCAAACTAGAATGTACTCCTATTAAGAGCTAAGGTAATTATCTAACGAACAAAGATCAGAATAGAATTTATTGGAAAAGAAATTACTTTCCTTGGTAAGCCAAAGCAGGAGCAAACTTGGACACTGCTAGGAAAAGATACAGGAAGGCACTAGTAAGAGCATCGAAAAGTCCATTGATAGTTTTATGACATGTACTAGAGTCTAGACACTTTCACTGTCTAACAATTTAACTTCTGTGGAATCCTAATCAAAATCTCATTAGATAGATTTGTGATTTATGAATTATCACAGACCTACTAGTTAGAAAGTCGCTTAGTGGTTCTGAGTTACGCTATTGATGTTTTCCAGAGTGTTGTTGGGTTTCAACAGTTTCACTTCCCTAAAGGTGCAAATATTTTCCCTACCAGTAATTGAATTGAGGACTCAAATAACAAACGAATCCACATCATTGCAAGAATGCCAGCAATGACATAATAATCAAAGATAGGACTCACATATTTTCAATGATGACCATGCTGCCAAAGCAGCATTTTTTTCTGCCTGCTTCTTGTTCTTAGCTGGTTCGCCTGTAAATGTGATTCCAGCAAGTTCCACCGTGCATGTGAAGACAGGTAGGTGTCCAAGTCCCGAACGGATTGTTGTATATGATGGCAATGGTGCCCCAACTCTCTGGGCAATTTCCTGCAGGAGATTCTTATAAACCCCTGTCTCATCCTGTTAAAAGATCATAATCAGTCTCAGGATATCACGGAGTAATAAAATTATAACTCAGAAGGGATAGGCTCATCTGCATAAAAGGCTTTGTGTTTGAAATATTTTTGGCACTAGGAACCCAGTTGGAAGGCTACATATTAATCATATTTCATGGTTTTACCGAAAATCTTTTATACATAAAAGCTACTGGAGTGAAAAAACAAATTCTTGTGCAGTTACAGGTTATGTGCAATTTTCTAAATTCTGTTAAAAGGTACTCAACCAAATCGGGGCAAAGACCGAAAACTCAAGCACACAGTTGCCTAGAGCAGACCTTAAGAAGTTAATGATGTTAGAAAGACAGCAGAGAACCTGCTACTTCAGGCTTGTTCTTCATCTATCTTTCATAACAATGGAACACAAGACTAGAAGGTCTAACATTTGCAAAATAACAGTATCAGGCTCTTGTGCTGCCTGTTTAGGTATCATTCATCTTGATTATGTTAACTTGCAACAAATGGAATCAGCAGAAAATCCATCAACATAAACTGTTAAAAGAAAGCTATATTAACAAGCATAACAAAGACATGAACCCACAGTCTATATTGTGAAGCTTAAGCTGTATGTTATGGCTGCATTTCCGACAAACAAGTTATGCAATTAGACAAATGTGCCAATACAAAACATCCATTTCTTAGTGTCCATAAAGAGCATCAGAAAGAGAAGAAAAGAAGGAGAGGGAATTGAAATGTGATTCATAAACCTAAGGTACAACATAAGCTAACAATGAATTTTATCCATTGATGGAACATTCTGAACTCAGAAACCTAGTGAAAGAAAGAAAAGGATAGGTAATTGAAATGTGATTCCCAAACCTAAGGTACAATAATAGCTATGACATAAAATATTATAGGTTAACTATGAACTTTATCCATCCACGGAACAGCCTGAACTCAAAATATTAATGGACTCAACGAGAAGACAAGGACATTCAATAATTTACATGACCAAGTTGTGCCAGAAAAGAATATGACTACAATAGAAATTTCCCTAAGCATAAAACAAATATTATGTAATCCTCAATGTTCACTAGACAAATTTCAGAAGAGGTCAAGAACTTCTAATTTAATGATGGATTCAAAGCTGCTACAGGACAATCACAGAAATAATCAATGGATCCATATATAATTCCACCAACAACGCTCCATATAATTCAACCTGTGTCATGTCCTCATCATTGCCTCAAGAGTAACGCTCCTGGAGTCACCACTTATTATTAAACACATTGGATTTAAACTTGTACTTGCTGTATGGTGTCTAAAAAACAAGGTAAGCTGCTAGTACAACAAGGTTAAACCTTGGCTGGAAAGGCAACCACCATAGATGATCAAAATGTTAAACGCAAGCAACCATAGTTTATTATGTTATGCACTGTATAAGTTGTTAACTACGTAAGACAAAAGTTTAAGAGACTAATATTATAACAGCTCGGCACAGATTCCAAAACACTTGGTAAGAACAGTGGTCATTGTGTGGACAAAAATGCCCCCTTTTATACGGACTAACAATGTTAACCGAGATCGATGAGCTCGGACGAAGCCCTAATGGAAAACCAAGCAGTTATTGTTATCGGTAAACGGGAACAAGGGTCAAATTTTAGACGACTCCGTCGCCGTTCCGGCGAAGCTTCGTGAGCGAAGATGGGGGACCAAAACACATTTTCTTTTGTACAAGAGGAAAGCTAGTCAACCGTGACTCAGAAAGTCTCCTCCTTTCCCACCCTTCATTCGTTCAAAGAACATTATTTCCAGTCCAACGAAAGGAATTCAAGAAGAAAGAATCTCCTTTTGGTTCACCATTTTGATTCCACTCTTTCGCCCCAAAAGTTACCTCATTAACCTAATCGAAATCCCTTCTCAAAGCGACGTTGAGATGAGTGGTAAAAATAGCTTTCTTAAAGCTTACAAGACATGGAAACAAAGATAACTTTTCGCAGAATTTTGTGTTGCGTTGGTCAGATTAGAGAGGAACAGAAGAGCTTAGGAAGGATTCGTTGGGTTATGGATTAAGGAGAGAGGAAGATAGGGGCGGGGGCGGCGACTGGCTACTGACCAGGATGCGGGCGGCGAGGGAGTGAGAGGGCCCGCGCTGCGAGAGGGCGCCGAGAGCCACCTCGGCCGCCGAATGCTCCGCCTGCCGCAGCGTGGTGCAGAAGCTCGGGCTCTCGAACACCTCGCCGTTGAAGTTCACCGCTGCCTTGAACCTCGGCGCGTGATCCGGCCCCTCCCGTACGCACGTGTACGACGGCAGGTTGAAGCAGCTCCGCTGCGCCAACTCCTGCAGCTGGTTCTTGTACATCCTCGCCCAACCCCCAACCCCCAACAAATCCCAGCAGAGATCACCGTCCGATGGTCGTCGGGCGGCGGGATCCGTCCTCCCGAGCCGTCTCCGGCGTCTCGGACCCTCGCGAGGTCCAGATCCGAAGAATGGCAGCTCCTCCTGCCGGAATCTACCCCTACGGCACGACGCCTTCGGCCAGGGTTTCGCCCTCCTTCACCATCCTCCTCTCTCGGAAGCAAGAAGATGAAGATCTACTCGGCTTCGAAGCGGAGAAGGGAGAGAAGAGGGAGAAGACTCCGCCTCCAAAATAAGCTTCCATAGGCACCCATATTATATATATATATATATATATATATATATATATATATATATATAATCTTCTTAATTGGGTTATTTAATGAACAGATTAAGAGGCTAATGACTACGTTGGTCTTTGACTCGTCTGTCGATAGTTTTCTAAACGGGGGAGGGCTGTTATTGTCACTCTCTATTTTCCCATCTTCTGTGAATGACTTGTACCTGTTGCTTTGACCAGATGAAGTGGATAAAAAAATAATAATTATGTTAATTGTCATTATTTCTGACATTGCATTAATACAAAATGGTCTAATTAGCTGTGGTCGATGGGTGATACTAACACACCACCCTTTTTCTATCGCACTCCTCTACAAAGTCATGCCGACTAAATCCATCCACCTGCATGCTGCATTAAAATGAGCGATATGATGTTGGTGGGGGACCTCCTCACCTATCTCATTAAATTAGTCCGAGCATCAGGTTTTCAACTCAATTTATTTTGACCTACTAATTTACTTTTAATGATTTCACACTTTACTTCTCCTGAGATGATGTAGCCAAAGGAAAAGGGAGATGTGATCCGAGGCATAGTCATTGATTGGATCGGTGAGTCCAATTGAGCCATCTACATATTTAATATTTATTTCCAAATATATAATTATACATTACGCTAAAATATAAAAATACCAAAGGATATAAAATTTTAATTTCTGACGTCTTTACCTTATATTTTGGATCAACTAATCTGAGGGATCAAATCATAGGATGAATCAATCGGGAAACGATCCGAGCCCTCCATTGGAGTAGACACGGAGGAATCCTCGTAAGAGGGAGAAAGGCTGAAGACCACTGTGTTTTTGTCATTAGAGGTTGACAAGGTGGTAAGTACGAGGGTTTAGAAAGGTAATTATCAAATTAAGGGAGGTAAGACTTGGGTTTCTCACCGCGGAGAGAGCGCACGTTGGTGGAAGTGGCTGCCAGCCGACCCCAGCCTGCGTACATAACCGGCATGCAGTAACTCCTAGAGAACTAAAGCAAACTTTCACCGGCCTCTCGTTTCACCACCATCATGCCCCAAATAATCCTAAATGGCACGCTTAGAGAAAATGATTCACGCAACATAATATATACATAACACACAGTATCCCATATATTAATTCTTATGTTCAAGTACCTCAAAAATGTTTCCATTCTTTTATGTATTTTACACTGATGATTTCAGCATTGTAAACATAATACATGCATGAGGCACTGGAAACCAGCCTTCATGAAACAATAGAACAGTACGTAGTACAAGCCAATTAATAGTAATTTAAATTGGTATCAGGTCCTCATCATTGTTCTTTTCCAGTGATCTCAACCATGATTTGACAAACAGAAACTGACCTTTGTAGTCCTCATATCTGAGATGTATCAGAAATCCCACCCCACCCCCTCCCCCATTTTAACTTGTAAACTGTAAGAATTGCCAAGAAACTAGACCATTAGTGAAGGATCATTAAAATGTCTAAAGTACTTGAAACTTGAAGAAACAACTATATTTTATCAACTTGTACCACGATATAAAGTTGCTAATTCCATGAGGCTGAATGTTTCCTCAAAATCCTGTAATGGATACAGCATGTTCTTGAAACAAATCCAGTGCACAATCAAGTTACAACTGAAAAGAAACAATAAGCATGTTAACCTATTTTATGCTTTCAGAAATAGTATTCAAATGAGCAGACAGTTTTGATGGCGTCAAGCCACAGTACCTAATAAATTCTAGTGACACATTTCTTTTTATTTCTCAAACAATAGATCCAACAGACCATGTCAAGCAACGGTACCCCTTTCAGTAGTGTGGTTCGAGATATTTAACATAGAGCTCTGCTGATCACACTCCAATGTAAAGCCAAGGATTCTTAGTTACCACAAGTTTTTTTCTAATCGAAAATCAATCTCAACACATGCTGAATATCAATTTCTTTTACAAGCGTGTCAGCTGAATATTACTGTTTAATATAGTGTGATAAGTAAAACAGTAGCTTCTTTGAGATCAACACAAATGATTCAGTTTCATAGACTAATTGAATATACTAAGTGCAAATCCTGGCCAATAGTGAAAGACAAGGAAAACAAACTAGGATGTTGCGTAATATCAAATTTTCAAGTCAGATTTCAACTTTATAGCATGTCCTTGTAATGTCCGCACAGGTGATTTAGCAAGAGTATTGTGATGACCCAATGATATTTGTCATACCCTGTGTGAATACAAATGTCGATGTCGTGCCCACCAGCATGGATCAGCATAGACAGCACACCCTCTCTACCCCATCTGGAGGTTCCTTCTCTTATTCATCAGTTTCAAATTAACATTTTATCTCCACAAAACACCATAGAAATCAATTTGACAATAGATATGGCTCAAAATAAAAGGCCAAAATAACTGGTAAAAGTTGATAACGCGGGCTCAACACCTTATTACACAGGACAACTTTCATTCTCCATTGAAAATAGAAAAACTGACACTCGTGTAATTCATGTGGTACTCTAAAGAGGCCATCATCTATAGAATTACATGTGCAACCACAATTACTTCCATCATCCACTTGAAAACAGAAAAGCCAAACATCATCTAACCCATGTGGTAGCTCGTGATAAATTGCCTATCACATGTCCAGACACAATAGGCAGAAGCTAAGGAATTTACACAGATTGGTCCCTAGCATGTCCAGTCACACTAGACAGATGCTTACTACATGAATAAGTTTCCAAATAATCTGGTCTAGAATGAGTACAACGAGACCAATATCAAATCTCTTTGTCATAGGATAAACACCATCTACCGATAGAGAATTTAATCTACTGATAACAAAATTGCCTTCATAGGCATGAATTAAATCATAATGAAAACTAAAACTATACGGAAAACAAAAAAAAATATAATATCTAAATCTTGTTAAATTTCTTAACAGTATTACATCAAATCTTAGCTCATTAGAACATCTGTGGAAAAAATGGTCATTAGTCAGTGGTCTCGATGACAAAATTTTTACCTGAAATGTAATTATGGCAAGGTGATGTCATCACAAAGTGTTGCAAATGATAATCTTCGATCCACTCATGGCCTACTCGAGGTAACAAAATGATAATAGTCCTCTTCATCATAGAGTTTCCTGAAACATCAGAAGAGATTTTTACTTGAAAAACTAATCACAAATCCCAAAATTTTGTGAACAACTTAACTTGCTATCACGCTGCTGGAACATGGTGATAGAGAATTTGGAAGTGAAGGTTGATCAATAAAATTGACAACATGCAAACACAAAGAAAATCCAAAATACATTTAGGTGCAATGTTTCTAGTTAATACCTCCTGTTACAAGATGACAAGATCAACATGGGTACAGACATTCAATTTATACCCCAGTTCAATACAGATGAAGGAAAATTAAGTGTGTTCACTTAATTGGAACACCGATAAGACATGTATCCCACATCAGTTACAATAACTGGGTTTCCATTTTTTTCCCTTTCCCTTCAGAGGTTATATTTTTCAGTTAGGAATCATCCTATAGTATATCCACTATGTACTCTTTAATAGGAGAATTATTTTCATTTAAAATTGCATCTCTTATTCATTCTTTTGATAGTTAGGACCAAAAAACCTAATAATTTGCATGTACTAAAGCAAATATAACAATCTGACAACTTATCAATACAGGACAAGTAAAAAAATAATGATTTTAAAGAGTCTGTTGGTATTAATGTTTGAACTGCCACAATTCCAGGGTATCATCTGAAACATCAAAATCCACACAGTTCCATAACCTGAAACCAGGGAATCTCAGAGACTCAAATTGCCACACTTAAAATGCAGCCACAGCCTATTTTTTTGTTTTATGTTTACATGTTTAAGTCATTAACTTAGCTATTTTATAGAGTTGATTCATAAAAATAAATCTGACCACACTCATGACTCATCCCTTGATCCTATAGTGCAGTTGAACAATGGAGACAACGTAAATAAAAAAACATGGAAGAGAAAGCAAGGATGATGGTTCTCCTTTAATGGAGAGGTCACCAAGAGAGAGGTTGATACCAGGACAAAGTCAAAATAAGGCAGTTTTCAACCTTTTCCTTTATTTATCTTTGTTTTCCCTCTTGTTTTTCTTTTTTCCTTGCTTTCCTTTTTGTGTTTTTACTTCTGCTGGCACCCCTATTTCATCCTGGTGATTTGCAGTGCCAAACTGGCAGCACATACTGCACCAGTCACCAGTTAAAATTTTGGGCAGGGATTCTAGCAGCATGCTAAACCTTGGGTAACCTAATTATGTATCCAACTTTCAATGAATGGGATCATTCCATTGTATGTCTTGGCTTAAATATTCCCAGGAAACTTGCAATTGCATACAATTGGGAAGATGTACAATCTACATTTCTTTATTATAGAAATAATCTCAAACAATTTAGATTAATTTTGCCTAATGCAAGAACAAATAATCAGTAAAGTACCAGCTTTTCTGACATCAGTATAAAAACATGTTGACTAATAGATATGTAGCATGGTTGTCATGAATTAGCAATACAATAATGTGGATTATATTTCATTCTAGTCAATGTTTGATGAAGTTAAATGGAGTTATGTAGAATCTATTCTACTATCCACAGCAGAACTATAACAATAAGGCAGGAACAATTTTTAATTAGATTTTGTTACGATACTCCATTCTAGTTAAAATCATCAGCAACCTACTAACAGATCGCATTCAAGAATCCATTTTACAGTTTTTTTTTGCAGCAAAGAAATGAGCTGCATAAGCAACCAGTAAAAGGATGGTATGAAGTTACCTCTATGCTAAATCAGGATATTAGTGTTTCAGCTTCATGCAAAGGAGTGCAACCACCACAACTAACTTTAAATGATTCATTTAGAAAAAGAGCATCTGCTGGAATTAACAGGGGCAAATATTTTTTTTGTGACAAAGATAAGTTGGACTAGAACTTACGCCAAATCCTCAATAGTCTCAGATTTTATCACAGCTTTCCCTTCAGCAAGTTCTAGGCAAGAATGATGCATTATCATTTCCTTCAGAGTTTGCTTTGTACTTTTGATGTCATTGTCCCACAAAATGCTCTGCAATTCAGTATAATTCACACAACTCAATTGGAGAAGTGCATAACTTTGGCCAAATAGCTTCCTTTAAAAGAAGCAAAAAAATTTGCAAATACAATATCCATTATCAGAAAAGAAACATGAAATTTGAAGCATTCAAGATGAACACCTTTCTGACATACTCTCTCTTTATATCATCCCAAGGCAATTTGCCCTTAGCAGAGAAGATTGAAGCATTCCAAAGTGCACCTCTAGCTACCATAATTGATGAGGCCCCTGAAATGTACACAAGGTGCACTAAGAAAAATTCTGCATTTTTTTGCATAATATAAAGCACTTTAGATGGATTAACATGTGGCGTAGTTTACCATCAAACAAATGCATTATTGCAAGTCTATGTAATTAATATTTATTGTTTAGCTTACATGAGTAAACAAACAACATCAAGCATTGTCTACCAAAGTGTACAAACACAAAATTGGAGAAGAAAATCATAGGAATGATCCATCCGTGCTAAAGAAGTTTCTTTTTCTCTCATCCCATATCTGAATATTGCATACGTAAGAGTATGCAAGTGACCTCAAGTGTTCCAGACATGTAAAAATTAAAAGCTATTCCAAATCTAATGCCCACTTGCCAGCTTCATGACCAGATGATTGTAAAGTGTTGATCTAATGTCAGAGGTTGAACAAAATAAGAGTTTGGTAACTGAAACTCCCATTCTTAGCATAGAAATAATGATACTATTAGGAGAGGTTCTAATTTTTTCCATTTATAGTGAAAATAACTGTTATTCAATTCAGAGAAATACATCATAGTATTACTCATCCTTGGAATATTCAGATAGCATGCCACTTGAGAAGCACTGACATATGTCAAGAATGACATTTTCTATAGCTACCTCAGATGACACGAGGCAGCCATTATGAGAAATTTTTCAAGCGGAGACAACACTCAAGTATAAAAATGTCAAACTTAGTAGAAATGTGATTCTCCGGAGGCCTATATAGTTATATATAGAAAGCCTAAGAACATATCAAGATTATATAAGCAAAATTTGCCAATCTAGGATAGTAGATTTTTTTAGAAAAATTAAGTATTCAGATTAACTTATACCAGAGTGCCTAGATTATAAACGTTGACCTTTTTTAGGCCTTGTCCTAAATATGCAAAAGCTTGCCATATGGTAATTGCTATCCTTACCTGTAGCATTTTTCATTCTACCAAAATCTTCATACTCAAAGACATCACCATTTGCTATAACAGGTATAGATAACGATGCTACAACATCTGCAATCTCATTCCACTTTGCAGGATCCCTTGGCCTATCTTTCACTCTTCTGCAATAGAACAAAAATTAAATGTTATATAAAGGCCAACAGGATATAAGAAATATATTTGAGAACATACACATTAATGTCCTTGAACCTACTTCATCTAACCCATACTGTTGCAAGACAACCTATTGTTCATTTTTCTTTTCAATTTAAACATTTTTGTGTCCTGACAATTCATTAATTTCTATATCTCCATATATGTCAGTAATAAATCATCCAAAGTAAATGTCTCGGATATGAAACATTCATACTGCACCCTCAATATATGCCACATAAAACAAGTTAACAACACCACTGTGATATCAACCTGAATTAACAAATTATAGCATCATCATGGTAAAAGTGGCCAGAGCCAACTGATACTAAAACTAATTGGTCACTGTAAATATGACTCTAGACTTGAATAATCTTTTATCTGGGAAACTAGAGCAGCCCATATCAAGCCCTATGTCTGACTAATAAAATATCCCACTTCAGATGATGGATGAAAGAGAGTTTCAATACCTTCCATGAACAGCCACAGCCGAAACACCAGTCTTTTCGATTCGGCGTGCTAGTTCCACAGTTGCTTGAGATGAAGTAAGAAGGCGAACCTTACATGTTACTGTTGTATCCAAGTTCCTTCTTAAGGTTGTCAATATCTAAATGACGAAGAAATACAGCCATCTACTAGAATTAAGAACCTCATGATGATAATAAGATATATAAACTACAATAGCATAAAAATTAAACACTTGCAGTACGTCATGAATAAGCTCTGGTTTAGAGAGTAGTGCAGCACCCATTCCTCCGCTAATGGAGAAAGACTTGGGGCAGCCCATATTGATATCTATTGCTGCCACATCTTTGCACCTGAAAAATATACAATCACATATAAACTGACAATAGATGGTGATAATGTTAAAATCAATTCTAAGCTACATATGGTCATACACAGTGTAGCATACCATAGAAGTAAATAAGTTATCTGGAAAGCATAGAAGAAACTGTCACATAAGGCTAGCAGCATCATAATAATTGGTAGCAGAAGAAACAATGAACTTGTACAATAAAGTTATAAACTATGGAAGGAACAAATGTAAGCAATGTCTAAATACTTTTGTCCATAAGGAACACATTGTCATTTGCAGTACCCACTGGTCAAGTTTGGCAAAATGTGCAGAATTGAATTCTCAAGTATAAGATAATTGAGGGAGAGCACTATGCTTCTTCCCTAGTTAAGCTGAGATTGAGTTATATTTTCTAACTGTGGTGGATACCAAGCCGTCAGCATGATGATAATTACCATGATGAAAACATAATTCTCTTTATATTAAACTAGAATGGGTTGCACAATGACAGCCTTGGAAACTTACTTTCTGCTTACAGTCTCTTCTCACTAGAGTGAATGGAATCAAGAGATGAATTTGAAAAATCCAAGATGGCATTCAATTATGAGTAACTCTCCAGTTGTAATTATTCAAATTGCAGCAATACCATATTTTAACTCATTCACGTGAAATTTCCAAGGAAAAGTTTGGAAGTAAACTCCTTGAACAATAGACCTTGTTTGTTAGGTAATAAAATTCTATAAGTAGCAAGTAACATGTGAAGCAAGAATGAAATTGACTCATCAAAACATGTCAAACATCTTTTCGGTCGGGCCGACCATAGCAATTACAATTAGGGTCCTGATAAGAATTTCTGACCCTAAGTGTTTTAACAGTTATATAAAACAGGTCAAACATCTAAAATATGTTCAAAATGATCAAGGTGGAACAACAGGAGACCTGAAAAGATACCAGAAGATGGAGGGTCCTTAGAAAATAGGTGTGCATACGAGATCGCTACTTATTAGAAAAATACGTGATCAACAAGTGCCAAAAAAGTATCACTTACAATGGCAACATAACAAACACCAAAGGGAAATGACACACCAACAAGGTAATACATGGTTTATGGTCTCGGTATCTATTACCATAAATGGAATATTACTGGTCCTTACTCTTCTTGCAACTAATTGGCACAAGAAATGGAAGGTATTGGCACTATTTTCAAGGGCCACAATGAAAAAGAATAAAAGAAAAGCTGACTCTGCGAAATAGAGCATTTCCACTGCTGCTTTATATACCCATAGCAAAAGACAAAAGCAGACTTGTCTTAGTGACCAGAGGTCATGCATGATTTTTTTGTCAAACAGCCAGCCACTTTCCCTTTTACACAGATGCACTTATTTAAGCATGATTATTAGAACTATACCGGACTGGCCAGTCCAACCAGATAACCAATGAATTGGATATCAGTCTGACACTGTTCTGTTTAAGGAGCAATGGTGCCATAATACTGGAGCAAACTGGATGACCCAGGTAGTTTTGCAATGAACCACAAGAACCAGTCGGGTGAAGATGAACCGACTGATTTTTTTCTTTTTCCCTATGCAAAAGACATCAGTATGCCTCCTTTCAAAGGCAAATTGAATAAAAATTGTGGGCATCTAAGTTATGTCAACATCATAACCTAGTTATCAGATATTTCCTATTATCATTCCCCTTGCATCTATCATACTCACCACTGCAGCCACACCTCACTGTCGTTTTCATGTCTCAGTCACATCTACTGCCACCAAGAGAAGACAGAGATGGAAGAATAGGAGGAGCATAATAAGAAGAATAGTAGAAGAACAAGAAAAAAAGGAAACGAGGAGAAACAAGATAGGAAGGAGAGAAGGTGAAGAAGGCAAGGAAAAAAAGAGGGAGGAGCAGATGAATAAGGAGAAGAATGTGAGGGTGAATATGAATGGGGAGAAAAAAGATAAAAGGAGAAGAAACAAAAAAGGAGAGGAACAAAATAATAGAAAAAAGAATATAATAAGAATATAATATTGTATAATATTTTTAGAAACATATTTTATTTAAAGTTATGGTTTGACCACCTTGTGAACTCAAGCTTGGTCGGGCCAATGACTGGTTCGTTTCTAATAGCTATGAACTTAAGGCTACAACGACAACAACAAAGCAGCCATAAAGTCCCAACAAATAAGAAATCTTTTTCACTTAATACTTTAATAGTTAAGCAATCACAAGTCTTCTTAGTCCTATGAATCTACCAAAACTGACACTTAGATCATCATTGTCCATAACCTTATGAACTGGAAGCTCTTCAATCTCAATGTCCAAACAGGACTCCAGACTCGCTATCAAAATTTGCATAAACAATAGCCATACTAGTCGAGCAATAGTCAACTAAATGGCTTTACAGGTCCACAAATAACACCCGAAGCTGCCATAAATCCCATTTGAAAGTTGAATGATGTCATAGTGATACACATTGATTATTAGGGAAAGAGATTTGTCAAGTCAAATTAAATTCTAAGGCAAATTAGTGCAATTACGATTCTGTGTCCACACAAATGATTATCCATAATTTAGTGTTGTATTAAATTGAGAAACTTCAAAGAACATATTCAAAGCTTGACAGTGAAATTATTCGCTGCCTAATGACTATAGACGGATATCATCTAATTCTAACAAAACATGTGTAGTGATTAGATTAACTCTTGTTAAATTCTTACACTATTTGAGCAGCAGTGAGAGCCCTCACAGCATCAGACGTGCCCATCTGAAACACAACCCTGTTCCTCTCCTCATGACAAGTTCTGAAGACAACATTGCTGGTTCCTTTCTCCACAAAATCAGTTGTGCCAAGAAATTCTGGTCATAGTACACATTAGGTTTCCAGCAAAAAGAGAAGATAATTACTAAAGTGACAACAATATGTCAAAGAAGTTCATTAAGTTGTTCCTATATGTTATCATTATTAACATAAATTAGCAACACGGAGATATAGTATGAAATGTTGCCACCATATGATACCTCATAAATGGAAGTAACTTTGAATCATTACTAGCTAGAATCAAGGCACATATACATGAATGAAAGTAATTGCGAATCATCACTAGCTAGAATCACTACTAGCTAGTATCAAGCCACATACAAGTTATCTTTCATAAGCATTTACAGACTAAAGAAGAACATATAAACAATAAGCATGATGCAGATCAACTACATAAAAATCCAGAAGAACACTAAAATTTTGTACGCTATTAACAGACATAAATTTTTCACTAATAAATACCATAGAACAGCAGGTCCATCTTCCAACTTAATCAATTTGAAATCAATGTATCCACCCATAGATACTATCACCAAACAAAAAATGAAGTAACATCGGCAACAATCAACACAAAGCCAATTTCTATTGCTGGAGTGGCAAAAGGAACTAAGCAACATCACCAAAGATAAACAGACAATCTTCCATCCACTACATATAACTTGTACCCCATGTAGACAAAACAATCACCAAAGTCCTGAACATCTGTCAACTCCCCACATTTCATACAAATCAAACCCTGCAAAGTTATTTACTTGACTCCTACTCGTCGAGTTCAATTCAAATAGTAAGTAAAATATTTTCTTTAACTAACAAAATATCTAAGCATTTATGAATGTATTGTCTTCACCCCTTTTAAACAGGTTGTCATCATGTGATTTATCACCTCAAGGAGTTCATCGTCATGTCTGGATGACAAGATATCCTTTTAATTTTATAGTGTAGATTATAATGCATCAGTGCATGAAAATTTATTGTCTATCACTCGGTTCTTGTTCTTGCAACTGAAACTTGAATGCTTGTATGTAGAACCAGGGCATCGTTCTGAAAATGATAATACACCTGAACTTATTGCTTTAAAGATCACCGCTTCACTGTTTAATCCCACAATCCTCAAGAAAGAATCATTTCTCTTTCATTCCTTCAATATGTGTTTTTATGTTGTTTCCATGACTTCAATGATCCGAGGCAACATAACATTCTGGTCTGCATAACATTATCATGTAATCATGATAATCACAAATCCTAACATAATCTATGGAGAATAGTAATGATCCAATCATGGACAACATGTCAGTGGTCTTACTACTGAGAAAATTTAAGGAATGTCCTGCCAAACATTCTTTAGCCCAGGTGTTCAACATTGTGACAAATAATCCCAATATAAGAATTTCCATCAACACATAAAAAATCAAACAATGTTGCAGAGACAAGTCAAGCTAACCATTTATGATTTCGATATTTTGTCCTTATCTCTTATTATCCTGTACAGAAGTTCTCTTTATTGTTGACAAATGCATTCAGCATAAACTACATGATTAATATGTTTCCACTTTCAGTTAGGATAGTAATAACAAGTATCTCAAAAAAGTGTTTGCATTATGTATTAGACATATCATCAAGAATTCGGGAAAGTGAACAACCAAATTCACAATGAGTAACTATTATTAACAGATTCATGCTTAACGCTAGAATAGAACAGCTTCAACAGGACCCTTAACAAAAGTTCTAAAAAATTAAAATCTGTAGCCCAACCAGAGGAAGTCTGCCAAACAACTTAGCAGAATTTTTAATCAAAATATTTTTATGTCCACACACTCAAAATACTTATTGCTTTAGCACATGGTTCGTCTTACCAGTCCATACTAATGTACCGACCGATCATTGGTACAATATATCGAATTGTACCAACAAACCAAAACATGGTACGGTGCAGCAGACCGATATGTTAGTATGTACCGTCCATATTAGTCCACTGTCGAACCGGTACATACTACCCATACCGAGTGGTACGGCAAACCTTGCTTTAGCCCATACTTTTTGGGTGGAGAAAAGGACAAGCATGAATCCATCCTCTAGTCAATGGAAGATCCAAAATTTTCTAATGAACTGTTTGGTTCAGAAATTCATATTCCATGGATAGGGAAAAATATTCTAAATAAAGATTCACATCCCAAGTACCATCCTTGTTGTGTATGAAAAACAAGGGGAAATATAGAACACTTGAGGACAAAACGTGGGAAAATCTGGGGAATCCAAAATGGAATAGCAATATTCACTTATTTATGATGCTCACGGAAATACGTATGGCATTTCCTGATTCCTGTTTAGTTGTAATTTTGGTCTATAAATATATGAGTTCTTGCTTAGTACTTGGGTTGGTTTTTACTGGTTCCACACATCTTCGGTGAAAAGTAATCTACCATAAGCCTCTCCTATCCCCATACAAATGACTGAAAAAGGAAATAACCAGATTAATGTCCTAACCAAGTAGTTTTCAAATACAACAAGCATACTTAATATTGATAGCATAAAAGATGCCAAAAACTAAACTTCTGCAGGGAAATAATATAAACATAGACAAAACATAAATGAGAAAAGTCAGCAATCAGCCCAACCAAAAACAAGCCCCAGACACTATGTACACAAAAGAAGTAGTAGGAAAGGCAAAGAAGAACAGTATTCACGCCATAAATCCTTGACATAATTGCCAGTAGCTAACTGCATATCAAATAGCTAAGTACCATTTATGCGTCGTTCGCATTTAACCATTTTGTGATCTATAATTTCCTCCCCATAAGTTATATCTGCACCGTATCCTGCTGCAAGTAACCTAAATGATAATGTACCCTATAAAAGGGAGAAAAACAACATAAATTTGGATAAAAAGATGAAAAATGTCAAACTAGTTGTCTCTAGAAATGGCAATAAACTAGAAATGTCAATGACAGAAAATTACATAAATTCAAGGAAGGTTTTGCAAATCATGCATAACAGCAACCTGCTATTCCCTCAATTTACCAAATCAAACTGATCACTTAACTAAAAAAATGATTATTTTTGAAAAAAAAAAATATTTTGTCATGGGATATGAACCATGCAACTTAAACTGTCAGAGGCATTTAATTTGCTGTTTGCTTGAAACAATCTTGTGATGACTATTTTGTGAACTTTTCACTTTTTTGACAGTACATGTGGATTAGTGGGTAAGACATGAGCTTACTCATGCCAAAATTTGGTTAAACCAAGTACACTATATTTCACTTGAATATGGAAAGCCAATAACAAATCTCTCACTATTTATCATCACATGGTAGTTATCAAATATTGAGATTCTGTAGACCAGATTTTTTTATTCCTCTGGTCTTCTTTTATGCCATAAACGATGAAAATATTTGTTTGTCACTTGGTGCATTAACTCATACCAGGATAGTGAATGAAACTGGTTTATTCTCTACCTTGTTTTTACTTTCTCTTATCATGATTCTTTACTCATCTATTTAATTATTCAACAACCACAATAACAAAGCCATAAAATCCCAACTATTTAGAACAGACTAAATGGATCTTTTGCCGTTATTGAAGTATGTAAAAAGTCATATATTTAATTTAGTTAAGAGCATTTAAATCTTTATTCATGATTTCCATTAAAGTATTTTTATGTCTTCGTCTGCTTCTCATCATACCAAACATTTCATCTCTTCTAATTACCCCATCTATACGTCTCTTGAATTCGCACCATCTTAAATGGATTTTCCTCACTTTTATCTCCATCAAAATAATACCTAGTTGTTTATAAATAGAAATATTTTTTTTCTTATCTTTCCTAATAACTCTACGTATTCATCTCAACATTCTCATCTTAGCAACACAAACAATATGGTGTTTCTTAACTGCCCAACACTAAAATCCATAAATTATTAGAATCTAATAATTTTCTTATAATTTTTTCTTTAAATCTTAAAGGTATCCGATGATCATGCAAGACTCCTAATGTCCCTTATCATTTTAACCATCTTTTTTATCTTATTACCCTAACTTGGAAATATTGTTATCTGAGGTTAATCATAACTTTTATGGTGTTTTCCCTTATTTAATGAGAAAAATCCAATGTATAAGTAGCAAATAATTTATGTATCATAAGGACTCTGGGATGGATGATTTTCTTTTCTCTTCTCATGATTCTTTCCTCTTCTATCTGCTTAATCTAACCCTGATAAGAATTCTCATTTTCTTACCCTAAAAAAATGGGAATTTTTTTAGGGCAAACAACAAAGGAATGTACCAGAAGTCCAATTGTAAACAACAAAGCTTCTGGTATACGCCCAACTGTACAGTTCTCATTTTTGGTTCTGTCACGACGCAAAAGGAATATACCAGAATTTCGAGTTGCACGTTTGCAAGAAAAAACGCTTCAAGAACCGTTGATTGATGGAACAAAGGATCCACGACCTACAACTAAGATCAGCCTCGGAGACTTAAATCCGATGTTACAGACAATGGATACTCGATTCCGGAGATGATGAGAACATCCAGATCCTAATCGCCAAAAAAACCCTAATGCTAGTTTCAGATAATTATTATTCATGTCCTGTGGTTTGCTAAGTGGATTTCCGATTTCTACCACAACCACGAAAACCACAAATCAACCAAAGAAGAGATTTAATCTACGCGTTAGAAACATACAAATCCGAAGCAATATAAACAAAGAGGTCATATTTGGATCCAAAAACCGAATCGGGAGCAATCGGCAAGATTCGGGGCATGGGGTAGGATCCACGAAACCAAGAAGAACCAAGAAAAGGGATCGATTCGAGACGGACCACTCGGACCATCGGGGCGAGAACCAGCTTGTTGTGGTAATCCATGGCGCGGCGCCGCCGTCCGCCTCGCTTTCTTCCGCGTCGGGGTTTCCCCTCTTTGCTGCGTCTGTCGCGGAAAGAGACGGCAGTGTTTCGCTGCTTGTGTTGGGGTAAGGGAGGGGTTTACGCGTATCGCGTTGTTCCGCGGTTGCCGGTAGCCGACCGCCCTTCCTGCGCTCGCGAAGGGGCAACGACAGAGAACCCAGATTCTATTCTTTTCTTTTCTTTTCTTTTCTTTTCTTTTCGTTAATAGGCAAATTCTTAAAAGAAAAAAATCAACTTTTCGTTATTTTCCACTGATCATAAAATATCTCCTTTTATTTCTAGTAAACGGTATCAGAAGTCCTTACATATTATCCATTTCTTATAGTTAGACGTCTTTCTCTAAATCTAAAAAATTATATTAATTTTTTTTATAATCATAAAAGTAAAATATTTAATTCTATTTATCCTAATATTATCGTGTATGAAAAATACAACACATAAAAGCACATATATATATATATATATATATATATATATATATGATAAAAAATAATGAATAAAAAGATAATTTTAATAATGGTGATAGATAATAGTGTCATGGATGGTTATGATAGTGGTGACAAGAACGATACGAATGGTGACAGATAATAGTGTCATGGATGGTTATGACAGTGGTGACAAGAACGATACGATGGTCGACCTTACTGTTGTTGATCCAAACATCGACAATGAGGAAGAAGATGAGGTAGCGCAGTGCAGAGTCGACACTATATCGAATGATGCAATGATCGATAAGAACGAAGATGAGGTAAAGTAGTGCGACATCAAAAGAGGAAGAGGAGGCAGATGAGGCATCTACATCGACACCACACCTCTTTGTCTCCTCTTCTTTCTCGTTGACTACTGCATCGCCAAAAGAGGAAGAGGAGGTAAAGCAATGTGACACTGTTGTAGATGCCTCACCGCTTTGTCTCCTCATTGTTAATGTTTAGATTAGCATCAATAAAGCCGACTATAGTATCGTTCTCATCATCCACTACCACAACAGTCACCCATAATAGTATTATTCGTCACCACCATTGAAATTACTTATTTGCTTATTGTTTTTATACTATTATGTATGTACTATCACGTGCTGTATCTTCTATCGGTAAAGACAATAATATTAGGATAAATGAGATTAAATGCTTTATTTTCATAACTATATGGATTTCAATATAACCTTTTAAAGCCTATAGATCATGATGCCAAAAAGGTCTAAGTATAAGAGCTAATGGGTAATTAGTCCTATTTATCATCGTACCATTGACTTTTCCATCATCATAATCGCTCTCACTCTATCGTGTTGACTTTTATCTCATTACTTATCATGAGGCTCTATCGCCTTTACTACATTCACTAAGGTTCTCAAGCACGCCCTCGCCCTTGTCCATTACTGCTTCATCAATAGCCTCTCCCATCACTAACATCATCCCATCCCATTTCACCAATGCTCATATGCCACTTCCCCCTCACATTTTCTCTCTCTTTATGATACCCTCGATTATCTTCCCTAGCATTAACGACTAAGATATCAATATCACTTACCACTACTCGATGCTCTGAGTGCTATCCAAAATGGTCGTCACTTGTTGCAGGAGTACCTCCATGGATGGGTTCATGCATGTTCATGTTGCTTGTAACACTCTCTTTGATGAGGCTATATTTTAATTAATTAAAATGGGATCGGTGGATGGAGAAATAACAACGCGATGAAAGAGACCGACATGGCAACAATAAGAAATAAAGGTACGCTCGAGGGTCTTAGTAGCCTTTGCAAGGGCATGGTGGAAGGATTGTTTATAAGAGGTGGATGTAGTTACAACGGGGCAAAGGCATTGACCGTAAACAATGAGCAATAGGACGAAGCCTCTCACGATAGAGTAAAAGATATTTTTAATCTTTTGGAAAATAAGGATGTTCTACAAGAGTAAAATAAAAATGGGTGTTGCTTGAGAAAAAAAAAACTCAATATTTTTTTTTAAATTTACCCTTATTGAGAAAAAAGTATTTCTTGATTTTTATTATATATCTCTCTCTAAAATTTTAGTTTATCATTTATACCCTTGTAAAATAAATATATATATTATTATGGTTAATTAGCTTTCATGTTATTATTACTTAAACTCCAAACGATATTAGTATTTTAAAAATATAATATTTTGTAATAACAGTATATAAATATTTTAGATGATTTTTTTTAATTAAACTTTAAAATCATATTACGAGAAGAGGGGAAAGAACGATTTTTCCATTGAAGCTCAATCTTATTGGATTTTTCATGTGAGCATTAGAACAAGTATGTCATGGCTTAAAGGATGGAAGTACCAAACAAATTAAATCAATTCTATCTATATAGAACTTGCAATATATATATATATATATATACACACCTTTGAGCATGATTAAAGACTTAGTATGAAATGATTATCCCTAGACAAAACTAAAGGACATATCATAATGATGGCTAAGCCTTATATACATTATTATGTTACTTGTAGAGGACATTAAATCTTTATAGGATATGATATGTATATTATTAGGATTAATTATAAATTATCCTTTATAAATGACTTTTAGTATCTCATGTTTATATTTTTTAAAATTATATTGACACCCTTATAATTACGAAAATAAAACATCTAGGTTAACATCTAGGTTCATTTATATTAATATTATTAGTTTTACTAATAAAAATTATAAAAATAAAAAAAATAAAAAGATAATTTTAACGTTCTAATTAATGGTGATGGACGATGGTACTGCTGGGTCCTGTAAGTGACTATTATGGATGAAGAGAGTGATAACGAGAGGTAAGGGTTACTCTATATTTGTGTCAACGTCAATACAATTATCTTTTCAATTCTCGATGACTATGTCACACAAATGTAGAGCGACCCCCATCTCTTGTCATCGTTCTCATTATTCACAACAGTTATTTGTAGCTCCTAGCAATACCATCGTCCATCGCCACCAACACTATCCATAATTATCAGTTAGAATATTTAAAAATATATTTTATTTATTTTATTTTTATTAATAAAATTAACATTGTTAAGGTAAATAAACTTAGATATAAGAATATCAATATAATTTATGTAAATATCGAATTATTAAAGATATATTAACGAGCCCATACTACCGGATGGTTCGACTTATGCGTTACGGGCAGCGGAGAGAGCGGACCTCTATCGACTACCACATCTGATTTTAATCTGGCGTAGGGTTTATCCGTCGACCATTTGGGGGAATGGGACCGCACAACGGTTGTATGCGGACCTCTATCCGTCGCATAAGCACCCGTCCGATGGACAACACGTCTACTGACTGAAGCATCCAACGGTTCGAATCTCTCGATGAATGCTTGAAACCCTATCTCTCTTCTCGACCTTCGCCGGCCAATTTCCCTTCGACATGGAGACGAGGCCTTCGATCTTCCTCGCCGCCACCACCGTCGAGGAGTTCCTTCAGGCGATCAATCCCCGTCATCATGGTCTTTCGCCACTTAGGGTTCCGAGATGGCGAAACTGGATCTGCGAACCTTGAGCAAGACGAGGTAGGCGAAATGCTTGACTTCTTTCCTTCTCTGTTGTTATGCAGTGCGGCTGAAGACTTGGGCTTTGCGACAGCGTTTGGATAAGGTGGCTTCCAATGGGAGGAGCGAGGTATTAGCTTCATGCTATCACTTCATTGCTATTTCGATAAAGGTCTCTTCCGAAATCGGAGCTATGAGAGAGTTTATGCCGGTGGCCAATTAGCCAGTCACACCCTCGCAGCTGTAATGGCTGTAATCTTTGTGTGAATGGTCAGTAAGCACACCGATAGTAACTATGTGTTTGCGTCCTTTGAGGTAACTTTTGATTGCGGTTTCTTTTCAGACGCATTCACTAACATTGGAAAATTGAAGAACAGTTCCCTAAGAAAAAAATGGAAACAAATTTGAAGTTTGATGTCTCCAGTAATTATACAATGGGAACAGTAAATTCTTTTATAGTGGCTGTTGTTCTTCTTCAATGAATGATATCATTTTAGCTACTCTACTTTGATGTTTGCATTTGCTTAGCTCCTTTTGTACCCTGGAACATATGATAGTCAATTAGCCAAGGGTGACATTCTATGTTTAATTTGATGCCTAGTTAGTTTCTGTACGACTTTAGGATGCCTTTAGTTATTATAGTTGGCTGAGGAAAAGAGTATGGGGCTTAAAGATGTTTATGTATTTGGATTGGGAGAGGTTGTTCTAAGGGCACATCACATTGGCAGCTAAAGGAAAGTAAGCTGGTGATTTGTTAGCCATTCACACATTTCGGCGGTAATGGCTGTCCTTGTGTGAAAGGTAGTAGGCTCACCTACAGTACATCGGTGTTCACAACCGGACCTGGAAACTGAGTTATGGTTTTCTTATGGTGCGTTTACAGACATTCTAAAGTAAGTTCTTTTGGATATTTTGATAGCTAAAACTTGTGGATTGTTGATCTGCTGCTGGCGATGCCTGTCGTTTTGCAGCTCGGTTTGTTCGTCCTCTTAAGTGGGCTGGGTACATGGTAAATGATAAGGTAAAAGAATAGAAGACATGGTTGTCGAAGGAAGAAAATATGAGAGCTTTTTCTTTAATTTAGAAGGGCTTTTAAAGAAACTATGAGAGTTTTCGTTAGAAGGTTCTTTCTTTGGACACTGTTATCTGGAATTCAGTTTAATATTATTTCTTATTTACTAACCGATTATATTACTAGAGGAGGATTGCCATGCTCATGCTTCTTCATCAATTGAGGATCCATGTCAAGTATCTGTTGTGAAGAAACCTTGGCACCTTATAAGCGACAGTGGGCTCCCAAACCATGACTTTAATTTATTGGACCTCATGTTAGCTGAAGTTATGATTTCAGTACTGTCTTTCATGTATTACCTTTTGAACCGATCACCATTACTTCAGATTACTTTCTTGCTTTTCCTATTTCTGTTTTGTGTTTGTTGCTTCATCCTAATTTTCTCTTTTGTTTTTTCTTGCTGCTGAACTCCTGTCTTATCATTTCCCTTATCTTGATTCATCCCAAGTTCTTTAGATTTCATTTTTTCCCCCCATTTTCTGATGGAAGGAGGGTAGATAAAGCAATGGTTGTAATTTTTCTGTCAAGAACCTATCCACTACCCACTGCTTTCTCACTTTGATGACACAAATGGTGGTTATGTGTCCAAATTCAATATGCATCGACGTATTATTTGACCATTGTTGTTTTAATATGCTGACAAACTCAATACTTAAAAACCTTAAAATTTAGTGTTAAATTACAGAATTGAAATGGTATTATCTACCAATGTGTAATGCAGTTGTGTATCTTTTAACGAACTCCTTAATGATACCTTATTATCCACTGAAAAGCAACTTGATCATCATTCTGTAGGGCATCAGAGGCTTATGAAGTCTCAAAAGAGAACTCTAAGGTGGGCAGGAGAGCGGTATTTAAAGCAAGGTCCGCAATACCGTATCACTGTAGCACTACTACAGTGCTACTACAGTGTCGGACCGGTAACAGATGGTCTGCGTACCGGAAGCCGGTCGGACCGGTATGTACCGCCCATATCGGGTGGTACGGTCCGGTACTGCAGACCATGATTTAAAGTACACCAGTTGGCAAAGCTTTTTTTGGTGGTGAATTGAGGTAGAATCCTCCACCTGCTATCAGCCTTGGAGATACATTGTCATTAATACAACATCTATATACTGTATTTTAGTTGCATCACACAAAAAATTCTTTCATATTTTGTAACCTTATCACTGTACAGCAGAACATTATTATTAGTGTACCTTAGAAATCATTATTATTGTTGATGTTGTTATTATTGTTCTTCAGTTCATTTTTTGCTTATATAGAGAATGTTAGTCATACAACTCAAGAATGAGAATTTCTGATGGAACAAAGAATGTAACAGTTTGGATAAATATGATGTGACTAATAATATTGTAAGTACTCTAATGGTTATGCACTTTGAATCTTCGGTATAAAAAATGGACCTACGTAATTAAATGATCAACTGCAAAGATATGAATAGCTTAATGAAATATGCTAAATTAAGGGATGAGACTGGATTAAATAAATGTGTCGACATCTAGGAAACAACACGCCCAACACAAAAATATGGCATTGCTCATCAGAACCATGGACGAGGTTAAGATGCTAATAGATCTCTTTTCGAAATGAAGTCTTCTGAGTCTATTGCACGAATTTTACGTACCATTCAGTCACCGTAAGACCATATAGTTCTCTGATGGGTATTTTACCCACAAGACGGCATGCTTTCTGATGATTTTGAGATGGCTCAACACAATCTTAGATATCTGCACATTACATGGGTCTCTAAATCGATGTTTCTGCCAGCTCGACAACCTACAATGCAAATGCATAGATTCAGCACTAATTTCTCATTAGCCTTTCTTGGTAACCCAAACATCTTTAAAAACTTGAGAGAATAAAGAACCCTAACTACGGAATCTAATGAAAGGTCAAGCAATATGTGGTCATCAGATTTAAATGTCTCACACGGTTTACAAATTCCTGTTCGTAGGAGAATAGAAACACAAATGGCAACCTATAAGAGAAGAAAATCCAGCAAATCACTTGTGTTCGAACACGATGCCAGTGATCTAATCCTCTTCGTTCTCCCTTTCATCTTTGATGAGCCTAATCATATCATCAATCCGAAGAATCGTTATAGCTGCCTCAGTGGCAAACTGTGGTCACAAATAAACAGCACATCAAAATTTGGTGATATTCAAAGTCATTTTCTTGCAGATGTAATATAATAAACAAAATTTGCTGCCCACATGTTAGTTATTGTGCTGCTATAAAGAAAGTGAGGCACAAATCAAAAGTACGGATTTGATGATAACCATAATAATCCAAGCAATTACAGCAGCATGGTCAAGTCAGAAACACTTTTTACCTGTATGATCTTCACTTTGCTCATTGCAGGCTCGATAACTCCAGCTTCAAGATTGTTCCGAGTTGTACCTTTCGAAAGGTCCAAACCCATGCTGCATTATAACAAAGTCGATATAAGAATATTGTGACAACCATTCACTTTATTCAAGCTTCTTAACATCCACAAAGAATTATTGTATGGATACAAATAAATCCGTGACATCTTTTCGAGTATGTCTAAGCGGTTCTGACTGCAGAATGCACATCTTATGCCCACAGATCATTGAAAAAGTCATGATTGATGATCAAGGAGACTCATGTATCATTCAGGATGCTAATGGAATTCGAATGTTCATAGAAAGGAAAGAATATTGTGCCAACCATTCATTTTATTCAAGCATCTTAACATCCACAAAGAATTATTGTATGGATACAAATAAATCCGTAACATATTTTCGAGTATGTCTAAGCGGTTCTAACTGCAGAATGCACATCTTATGCCCACAGATCATTGAAAAAGTCATGATTGACGACCAAGGAGACTCATGTATCATTCAGGATGCTAATGGAATTCAAATGTTCATAGAAAGGAAACTATAGGTACTCATGAGGACAAGTAGGCAGTATAGGCTTCAATTTTCCAATAGCAACATCACTCAAGTTCTTGTTATGGGCAGAGAAGTTCTGGGTCAATGTACTTGAACATAATAATAACACGGGATCGAGTGGTTACTAGTGTCCGTAACAACCACTGCTTCAATTATTATGATGGAAATAACATTATATTACAAAGGGATGAACTTGCCAAATTCTCACCATGAGATCAAGAAAAGAATTTGAAAGCAGACAAACCAGATTAACTAAAGGCATCAGGTGTAAAATAAACTAATTAACAAGTTCTAGAAAAGAGGCAACAAAGAGGAAACAAATGTTTCATAAATGATTAAATTATGACTTCCCCTGATACCTCGAAAGGTGCTGCTTATCTGCCTTTGTTTGGGCAGTGTGATGATAAGCCCGAAGTTTTGCAACCAACTCAGTGGCATCTTTAGCAGCATTGACAGCAAGTACCTATTGCACAATTTCAAGTTTTGTCATACATGTAATATTATCTCAAACAAACACCAAAGATTAAGACATAACTACTAGCAACCTTAGGTATAACCAGAAGAGATTCAGCAAACTCTGCAATTGCCAACTGTTCTCTAGATCCCAATGTCGTAGCCAGATACTCCAAGTACACAGACAGTGCAGCCTCCACAGCACCACCACCAGCAACAACCTATATCACCAACTTATGCAAGGATTAATTATAAGATTCAAATAGTTTAAGGTTTTGAAATGGAAAAAAAGGAAAGGTCTTTTAAACTGTTATTTGAACTGAAGTTCATGAAATAAATCTTGATAAACTAGAAGGTTCTATTTTCTCTCTCTATAACTTTTATTAATCAAATCACTGAACAGGCCTTTGAGAAAGTAGTGATATTGTCAGTTTCTTGTGTCTTCATTTGAGAGGCAGTTAAGATAAGAAAACCATTTCTTTTCCATCTGACTTAACATATACATGTTAGAAACACCAAAAAATGTACTGGATTGAACTGATATAGCAGGAAACATACATTAACATCACTACTTTTTTCATACACATTCCTACAATATGCCATAGACCTTCCACTTTTGCCACTTAAAAAGTGCAAAACTAATGAATATGATCTAATTGACAAAAGTAGTGGAATCCAAAAAAAAAAGGGATGCATCATTGCATCTATACTCGTTTAAAAACTTGCAAGTTATAGCAATCCAGTAAAAATTTCAAGTGATGATCATATTGTTATGTACTATATTTTTAATAGCACCAAAAAAATAGTAACAGTTGAGACAATTATAAGAAAGAGAAAATATAAACTGTATATTTTATCACTTTTCTGTGCTTTTGCAAATTATTAATGGGCATGCTTCACATCTAAGATTATACTGCATATTGTAAGTGCAGAGCCTTATGCATAAGGCTAGCAATGGGCTCAACCTAGCTAGGGCCTGTTGAGTGGAACCTTATTTAAGTTGAATCAGGGCCAAGTTATATAGGCTGCTGGAACTTAACCAAGATCAAATGTTTCTCAAACAAGCTGCTTAAACTCAACTCTGTTTTGCTTGGAACAATTCAATGGTCAAACAAGCCCATTTCATATTAAGATAAAGATACAATAGAACACCCTCTCCTTGATGCTTTGCTGTTTCCAGTTCATGTTGAATTGCTACCTGCCATCTGGCACACCCTTCACTTGCTGATGAGTCCTTCAGTGGCCAACATCTGTAACCTAAGGAAGAAGGCACCTTCAACTCTGCCAAGTGTGCTGCTTTTAACCTCTACAGCCCCGAAAGGCAAGACTGACTTCCCCTTTACCACCTCCCTTCTCTCCTCCTCTCCCTCCATCCCTTCTGTTTTATCCACAGTTCCCCTCTAGCCACCACAAACACCAACCAATGTCAGCAACATTGTGTAGTTCTTCTGAGTTCTGAGACCCACTGTTACCTGTAGTAGCAACAGTATTGCTTGGTGGCAGCAGATGGATGGATTAGGAGATTTGGGTTCCTTCTTTCATGTTTCTCACTCCTCAGACTATAAAGTATAAATATTGTCAAGAAAGCCATATTAGTACTAGTATGGGCTCAGAAGCGCTCTGCCAGGTCTATTGTTGACCACTTTATGGTAAGCAAGGTCGGGCCTCAGACATGTCAGTATGGGCCCAAGCCAAGCTGGAACCAAACAAAGTGTCAAAATTGCTGTAGCTTCAAAAAAGAATACCAAGATACAAAAGCAACTAAAATGAAAAGAAAAGAAAAGAAAAGAAAAGTAAAATCACAACAAAGGCCAAAGGCCAAATGTTCTGCAAATAACTTGGAGAAACGTTCTTTTATGGGGGCTACTCGACAAGAAAAAGGCTCTACAGTTTTGGGCACTTAAATAGCCACCAACACAAAATGTTATCCCCAAGATTCAGTTGTCAGGATTTACCGTATTCGACTCCAGGGTCCTCTTAACAATGCACAACGCATCATGTAAGGCCCGATCCATCTCATCAAGCATATAGTCGTTAGCACCTCTAAGAATCAATGAGACCTAATGAAGACAACAGGAAGTTGTTAATGCACACAAACGACTGGTCGATAAAAAAATTCCAGGAAGCAAACTCGAAGTCTTAAACAACGTTGGCAAGAAGAAACCACAGACCGCACTAGTGTTCTTTGTGCCCTTAATCAAAATTACATCATCATCAGCGATACGCTCCTCAATGACTTCATCTGCATGTCCAAGAAAAGACGAATCAAAAGTTTCTTCTCCTTCCATGTCAGCAAATGTGGTGACCTGCAAGGGACCAAAATAAATATTAATCAACACCATGGCAGATTGTCAAAACTTGTTGATCACGTAGGAAAAGAAACAAATAAATATGTAAAGCAGGCAGAGGTGTGCACAAGCCTAAGTGAGCTGTATATGTGGGTAGTCTAGTAAGGAATATACCAAAATTTTGATTAACTTAAGCTTGAGTAAGGTGTATATGTGGGTGTGATGAACCTCAAGCAGATCAAGTAAAAACCAAAAAGATCCAAGAAGATTGCAGTTATGACAATTGAGGTCTTACCACAGTCGCCCCAGTTGCTTTTGCAACATGACGTAAATCCTCTTTGCGAACACGTCTCACAGCAATAGCCCCAGCCTCGACAAAGTACTGAAAGGGCATCAATGCAAAAAAACCTTTATACCACAACATCAAACATATGAAAGGGGAATGACAAATCAAAGTTACAAAAATCAGAATCCAGACCGGCATCACTAACAAATTTAAGCAGATATGTGGATACTGATGGCAACATGAAACTGGATAGAAGAATGATAAGATTTTAAGTGAAAAATTATCAACAATAATTAAATGGATCAACCGGAAGCAGCTCTCCTCGAGAAGGTAATTGAGAGATTGTCTATCATCATGGATAAAAAATTGACAATAAGAAATTCCGAATTTTTCATGATAACTCAAATAGGCTAGTGCATAGTATGTCCACATCAAGAAAAAACTACCTCTATTTACTGCTAGGATGGATTTAACAACATAAGCAGTACTGAGTCAATTTCCAGTTAATAGTCCAGCATGCCATCATTCGGGTGTATTACAACAATACAGTCACATATGCATTGGAAATTACTGAACCAAAAAACCGATTAAATATACAGTTCACAACCTTATACCTCAGTTAAAAAAAAGGAACTTGGCTACTTCTGAAGAAAAAGTCAACATGATAACCACAAGTTGAGAAATACATGCCTTTAGAGACATATCATCAATTCCCTTGGTTGTTAGTACAACATTAGCACCAGCTTTCAGAAGCTTCTGGATACGCTCTTTCGTGATATCAGCTTCCCTGGCAGGTTTGAGATGGCATTAAACCCAAATAAACTCATGATGAGATAAACAAATGAGCAAATCAGTATGCATTGAAGGTTTCTATTATTCCAGCCAGATAACATACAAGTGGTGCTTAATGGATATCTAAAAGCCCAGAATACAGTGCAATACTGGTATTTTCAAGGATACAATTATTTGGAGAAAAAAAAGTCAGCAGAAAACATAAGCATAAAAAATAGTACTGTGAACAGAGAGACTTGAACTGCCAGAAAGTGGGAACAAAAAATCTAGTTGGTCCAGATAGCATGGTTCTTCCAATTTGGAAGAACTCTTTTCTCTATCAATATGTTTCCTTTATTATCTAGTCTTGTAATGTGCAACTTGGATATACTTAGCAAGACAAATCAGAAATAAACTGGAATGTTTTCAGCAGAGCAAAAAAGACTGAAAATCCAACAAAATATTGGGATTTTCTTTTCTTTTTGCAGAGTTATCTTGCAAGGATGGATTTCAAGCTGCAAATGAATGCAATACCACAAAACAAACAAAATGGACTGGAAATTCAACCAATGATAAGTGCAGAGAAAATACAGAACAAAAGAATTAACGAAATTGTTCATGCAGCAGAAATTAGCATGGCTTTTCTGACACAAAAAACAAAACTTCTATTGCAGTAATATATTCTACTCGACAATGCACTTCAGATGTTTTAATTGAAGTGCTAAGTTAATTAAGTCAGAAAAATAAAAGTGACAGAAACTACATCCGATAAGGATGTAGTTCCTGAACAGACTGCATTAAGATAAATCTGAAAGTCTGATACCTTCAGTGCATGCTACCCTTAATTTGGGGTTCAAAAGAGCATTTAATAGTAGCAAAGATTCTAAAACCCATTTGCTCATACCTGACACAATGAAAACTCTGGCTATAGTGGTCCTGTCATGAACCACTTGGTCATTTGCTTATGTGGATTACTTTATATTGGAAAGATTTCTCAACATCTCAACATGGCCTGACCAAATTGTATAATCATCATATCCATAGTAAAAAAGGAACATATCTTGGCTATGAAAGAAAGATACAACTAATAGCTTAATTGTTAGAGAAGAGAAATAATCATACAATACAGCAGGATTCACATTTCCAGTGCCAAAAAAAAAAGTTTTTCAAAACCAACTTGGAAGAAAAGCATGCCACAATACTTGGGCAAATTAAGCATAAATAAACTAAAATTTAAAATTGTGTAGAAATTCAAAAATTGCACAAATTTATTTATGATCTCTTTAACATGAAAAAAATTCAATTAAACTTATTTAATGCAAGTCACATGGACAGAATTAAGATCCACAACATAATTACCTTTCACGAATTTTTTCAAGTTCTCTTGGATCAGTGACCAGGACCTGAACACCCATCTGCATTTTTGTCTTTTGAAGATTAAAGTCAAGACAAGCAATTCTTGCAGGAGCAACCTTAGTAGGCATTCCTTGAGCCGCACGGCCAGTATTTAAAGCATATCCATTCAGCAAGTAGCTATCTTTGGCACTTTTTCCATGAGCTTTCAATATGTTTATACTCTAGAAAGAAACAGATAAAAATAAATAATTTAATTACAAGTATTAAAACAGAGTAATGTAAAATTGAAGAAAATTAGCCAACATATAGATAGACAAATTTTGCAAGTCCAGGTTCTTGTTAACATGCAACTCCATTTTCCAAAGAAAATAGTTCAGGATAATCATAAAGCAACTCGAGTTTCTAAAACTTCAAATCTCCTTCAAGTTGATCCAAGAAGAAAAGGTGACAATTAACAATTTAGCACAGACATGTAACTGAATGAGATAGGTTCAACGATGTACTACAGGACTCATTATATTGTCATATTCCAAATGAAAATTCACAATGGACTTCAAAAGTCATATTGTACAACAAATAAACGTGAGGCTTAAACAATTGCTGACCTTTATTGGATATTTAACTTCTCCTCTTGCATTTGTAGTCTTCACTCCCTGAACTGCATCCACAACCTAAACAACAAAGGAGTCAAACAGATATATCAGAACATTCTAATAAATAAGAAACAAAAAAGTCAAACTGAGGCCCATCACCCATGTACAAATTTTAAAGGGATATTGCTGAGCCTTTACTACCATTTACAAGTCACCAGGTACAAATGGCTGATGGAGGATTAATATGAGTATCACAGATCAAATGAATGAAATTTGCAGTTAACACTAACCAACAACCTTCCAAAACCAATAACCTTTAGTACAGAACTTGAATTTTTATCAATTTTATTATCATTGGGGAAAAAATCTCTTTTAAATCAGTAAATCATCTACCACTGCCAATACTCGGTCAACAATCATGTGTGTGATTTATTGAATTTCAGTTCAGCTTTAATTTGTAATCTTTGTGGTTTCTAGAGCTCTAAATTTATCTGCAAATCATCATACAAGCACAAAACATTATTTTTTGATTTTTTTAACGGTCCATAATAGGGGTTTAAGGGGGATCCATGAGTAATCAATGTTGGATTTTGGTGATCTAAATATGTATCCAAATATTATAAACAGACTGCAAAATGGTGATATTGGACTTCAGTATGCAGGAAAACATAGGAATGGCATAAGCATCTTCCAGGACAAGGATTTAGTAAATAATTTATACTAATAAGAAAAGAAACAGAAATGAAAAGCAAGTTCAATCAGAAAGGGAGAGACAATTATGTTGAGCTTACTAAATTAGCGAAGAAATCACTATCGATTGCAATTAATTTTGATGACATGCTTGTCTTCGCACAGTTTACAAGGGAATCTTTCCCAAGCTTTTCGACCTGAAGTTTCAAATAACACCTTTATTGAGCGGGTGAAGCAACATAACAACTGGAATGATCAAGTAATTGGTAGTATTAATGGATTAAAGAAGCACATACTTTTACAGCAAGTTTTTCATCAACATATTTGCAAGCTTCCCTCATTGCAAGCTGTCAGCAAATTGAGAAAATTTTCAGTTATTGGAAACAGGAACTAGAACTTGAATTGATGTTATTGCTAAATTTACTCTAATATATTAGCACATAACAACAGGAAAGCAAGACTAGAAAAGTTGGAAATTTTAGTTATTCAAAGTACCCTGTAGCCACTAATTATAGATGTTGGGTGAATCTTGTTTCTCACAAGATCATTTGCTCTCTGCAGAAAAGAGATATAATAAATTATTAACAGATGGATCCAGCCTCAATTATTTGTCATAACAGGAAATATAAAGGCATGATGAACTTAATGACAACCACAGTTTACATGTCACCTTAAGTAACTCGGCAGCCAGGATAACCACTGATGTGGTCCCATCTCCAACTTCTCGATCTTGAAGTTCAGCAAGTTCAACAAGAACCTAGAATCATCAAATAATAAGTAATCACAGAAATGTAAATCAGCAAGACCAAAATTGTAGAAAACACCAGTCCAGGTAATCTACCTTGGCAGCTGGATGCTCAACTTCTAACATCTTTAGTATTGTTGCGCCATCATTAGTAATTGTGACGTCACCAATGTCATCAACCAGCATCTAGTAGTTCACAATTCAAATTAACTTTTAAGCCTAAATAAACCACTAAAAAAGCAGACAGTGCCAAAATGCATAATGTACCAGATAACAAGCATTCAATAAACTAAGCAAGAAGTGTATCTAGTTACAGTGCTCCTCATCAGAACTCATTTTCCACTACTGAAACACCTAATCAGGAAATTCATGAGTGCAGTCCATAAACACAAACATACCGCAATTAAACTTATCAGGTACATGCACTGGACATGCATTGTTTAATAATGCAAAAAAATAATAGGCAAACTCAGCAGCAAACAGAAATGAACATAAAACAGGAGCATGGTGGCACAACAAGACAACTGAGATTTACAAAATCCTACTCCAAACCCTCATCACTTCCACTTGTTTGGTTCCTCGAGTATCTCTCTCGAAATTCATTACCTGCTTTTACTGAAACTTAGAAATGTCAGCTCAGTGCACGAGACTCCTACCAATACAGAATTTGGAAGGGGGGCAAATAAAAGCAGCCTTTCCCCGTTAGAGAAGAGACTGTTTTGATAGCTCAAATTTTAATCACTCTGGTTCCAGAATAGAAACCTCATCAGTGCTTGCTTTTATTGAATTTTAGCTGCACAAGAATGGTTCTGTCACAAACATTGTAGCCTACACATGACCTTGGTATGATACTAAAGCTGTTTACTACACATGACCTTAGACAATGAGTTTACATCACAAATCAACCCAATATATTTTTTTCAATGAGGAATCCAAGTAGGATACACCTCTTTGCATTTCACCCACAATAATAATGTTGGATATGTATAACTAAAGCAAACACAAGATTTATCCAGCAAGATGGTTGGAATATTTAGTTTTTTGGCATTCCTAACCATTTAATGTAAAGGAAAACCATCAAACTTTATGATGACTTGAAAAAAAATGTTTGTTCTCAAGTGATAAAATACATCATACCTCACATTTCATAAAATCTCTGCCAATATTTCTATTGCAATGCCCTTAATGTTCTTCTTTTCATCCCCAAAGAATAAAAAAGATTTAAGTTATTTTGTCATTTGCTTATCATAAGCTTAAAAACAGACAGTGAATACATCCCAAAATGAAAAGACATCTTCAAGTTTCTTCTGTTCTCAGGTTCAGCGCCTGTGCATTTGGCACCTAACCTAAACAATTTAACTCGGAGAAGAAAAGAAACAAAAAGGAACGCAATAATCAAGGATACGGCTGAAGAAAACCTAGTACAGCTTACTAAACGTAATCAACCATCTGAGTGCTTGTGCAGGTGTAAGTGATACCTAATACAATCAATCTGCACCATGTAACTACTGAACTAAATTGAAACTTGGACAACAAAGGAAGCCAAATTTGTGTTCATCGTTATTACAAAAAATTGTCGCTACGAACCTAAAGGTCTATTAAGAAAATGGCGTACTCAGTGGCCACTAATTCTTTGTTAATTTGTGTTAAACAATGCTCAATAAATGTGAGATCCAAGAACGTATTTACCTTATCGAGACCAACCGGTCCGAGCGACGATTTCACGATATTAGCAACCGCTTGGCACGCTACCACTGCCCACAACAACAGACAAAAAATGATGGGATGGGCGGAAAAAAAAACAGACACGTTTGGTGGATCTAGAGGGAGAAGGGTCGAACCATTCTGGGTGCGGACGTCTTGGCCGGATTGGCGTTCTCCTAAGATGTCGGGCGTCTGAGCGACGATCGCCATTGCCGGCCTCGGGAAGGAGCGGAGGGAGGAGGAGAAGGCGGTGGAAACCCTAGATTTGGGGCCAAGCAGAGAGTTACCGAGAGGCGGGGAACCGCACGATTCCGGAGAGTTCCGTGGGCAGCAGCTCCCTTGCGCTCACGCAGTGTGGGCTATATCGTTCCTTAAATCCTAGGGTTCGACTCCGCCGCCTCTTGCCACGAAGAAAACGGCCCGTTACGAACCTCCGTTTCTAACACTGATCGATATAGAAATAAAACGGTCCGTTACGCGTCTTCAATATGTGGGAATTAATTAGTCTTTGATATATCTAATTTTCCTTTATGTTATTTCATTATCATGTGATATATATATATATATATATATATATATATATATATATATATATAGCCATACTAGAAATAATATATAGACATATGATGGCATCATACAACCGACAACAATAATAATAAATACTATTCAACTTTATGTAAGAATATATGTATATTATAATTTTTATTTGTATTATTAATATAATAATAGATGATGTTTTTATAAGACATATAATTATTTACTTACAAAAGAAAAAAAATTGTTCTATCTAATTTTCATGAGACCCAATATTACCATGTCATAGGTACAAAAATTAATTGAATAACAAGGGTAACTCAAGGTGATAATTAAATGATTAATTGAAGTAGATTTATAAGCAATCGATGGGAGGTTTTTTAATCCTAGTAGATATGCTCAACTTGACCTCGATTAAGTTTAATTAAACTATAATTAAATTAGATGATTAAGTACTTCCTTCTAAGTCAATTAAGTTTTGAGATGTAAAATTCATGGTTATCCCATTTATTGTCATTTTTTTTCTACTGGTTTGAGATTTTAAAGGCTGTGATACACGTCGGTCTATCTTCAAGTCCAATTCAAAAAGAAGAATAATGAAGATCTGCTCAACTTTGGATAATCATCCTGATAAAAATTTCGATTATGTTTGTAACCACGCAATTATATGATCAATCATCATCTAAAATTTAATCATAATCATAAACCAACAACGCAATTTAAGCATGGGAGAAGTTCATTTGGCCTTTCCTGCCCATTTCCATGTTATTAGCATCATACAGATGAAAGACCAACATGGCACAAGAACAGATGGAAAAAAATCAAGCTTTTCCGAGTTTTTACCCATGTCGTATACATTAGATTCCAACTGGTACAACTGAACTTCTCGAATGGAAGAGACCACCAAAGAAAGCCACCTAAATGTTTCAACATGTAGAACAAAAGACTTAGAGAGAGAGAGAGAGAGAGAGAGCACATGAGATCATGTTAGAATCAAATGCACCATATGACATGGAAAAACAAATTCTTATGTGGATCAAGAACAAATCAATGAAGTATATCTATTCTTAGTAACTAACCTTTGTAATCTATGTTTGCCTACTCACCCAGTAGGTGCTAGAAAAGAACAATATCAGGAAGTTGGATTTGAAGTGTCAGATTAGATGTAGGCAAAAAAGTAGAAGATAGCACAATCAATGAGATATATAGAATCTGCAAAGTGACCAAGAGTGTGCCAATATAAATTAAGCCGCTTTTACGGGATGAACCCGAGGATGCTTGCACTGGTGAAACAACTCAATCCATGACCAACAATGATAGCAATAGAAATTAAATAAATAGGACTAAGTTCTATTATTGAAATATTATACAATATAATAAGCTAAGATACTTCGGTCTTCTTGAGGCTTAAAAGATCCTATTTTAAAAGATATCATTAACAAAGATAACCCTCATTTTCTGAGGTGCCAATGAGTTTAAAACTTATTGCATATAAGAAAAACTGAACTTGCCATGGGAAGCCTTCTCCCTAGGAGTCCTACAAGTAGTCAAACAGAATGCTACCACTAGTATGGATGTCAATAGGTGCATTTTTATTTTCACCTTTATTGGTGAAGTATGCTGGATAGCCCTACCTGTTTTCTTCTTTTCAAATTGGTGATTCTTTTCACCTATCACGCCATTGAGTATCAAGTCTCGTCCTATAACACCCTCTCTCCTTCCAATCTGAATTTGGAGGGATGCCACACTCCCATATCTCATATAGAAAAGTAAATCCTCTTACACAGAATTTACAAAGAAACCTTTTCTATGGCTTAAGGCAGAAAGTCTATCCATCTGTGAAGCATAAGACAGCTCACAGTAAAATTACCTCTACAATGATGTTGCTAGCTTTCACCATCATGGCATTTTATAGTTCTGTTTTACTTTAATGTGTCTGGAACTGAACAATACACATGATAAACTTAGCATCTTGCCTAACATTATTTGGAACTAACCCAGTTCAAGCCATGAACATGAAAATTGAACATTGAAGACACTTACACCATATGATTGGAGATGTGCCTAATCACAAGGTGCAAATTGTTACCTTGAAGAACCCCCATTCAATCAAGCTAGATTAGCCCTAGGTCTCTGTGGATCTCTTATGGCTAAAAAGCACTTTGGTTACTGAGCTAAATCTTGTCAGGGTCCATGCAACTCCTATGAATCCTAGGCAACATGTTTGATTACAGCTTGACTTTGCAGGGCAAATCCAACCCAAAAGGAACCTTTAAAACTGATAGAAGAGGATAACATTTTAGGACATACCTTTTATGATTTCTAGTTATTTTCCAACTAATTATGGTCTTTATTTTTGGAGTTATTATTTTAAAACAATCATAAAATTCCTGTTTTGAGTCGATTTCATATATAAAAGTCTTGATATCATAATGTGAAGAGTTCTGAACTGAAGGTTTCTTTTGTGGAATTTTGGCGAAAAAGAAATTTTCCTCCTACAAGACCTCCTAAAATGAAATAGATATTAGTTATAAAACTTCGTGCTATCATTAAGACTTGTATTAGTTTTGTTTGCTCATAATAGTAATAGTTATATTAGTTAGTTTTCTACCTCATCCTCTCTTGTTCTCTATTGGAAGGTCTCTCTCTATCTCAAATTAGAGAATCACAATAGAATTC